CTCCGCCTCCTCCACGGCTGGGCCGCCATGTTGGGGCGGGGCCTGGACTTTCAGGGAGGGGCCCCGGGGTGAGTGGTCCTGCGGTCCGTCAGTGGGGCAGTTCCTACCCCTGACTGACCCTGCAGCTCTTCCAGTTAATAAACGTAGGAAGTTCCGTCAGGAAGGAGGGAAATGGACGATGACCAGTGGGCAAATAGCTCATTACTGTTGCAGCCGAGATCCCTGGATGGATCTAAAAATTAATAAACGGGACCCTCGTTTAGAATGAGTGGAGAGGCCGGCAGGGAAGGCTCTGCACCCTAGAACTTCCGGTCAGCGGCAGCCCCAACAGAAACCGCTACCTCACTGCCCTACCTGTAGGAAACAAGTTTTCCCCTGCCCAGGCAACAGCGCAGCCAATGAGAGCTCGTCACAGTCACAGCCCAGCCAATGAGGCACAGCCACAGCCACATCCGCAGCCAATGAGAGATAGTCACAGTCCAGCCATTGGGAGACAGTCACAGCCCAGCCAATGAGACACAGCTGCAGCCCAGCCAATGAAAGGCAGCCACAGCCAGCCAATGAGAGATAGTCACAGTCTAGCCATTGGGAGCAGTCACAGCCCAGCCAATGAGGCACAGCCACAGCTGCAGCCAATGAGAGGCAGCCACAGCCCAACCAATGAGAAGCCACCACACCTGGCCCTCCTGGGTTAGGGCAGTGGACTTTTTATTACAAGCCCCTCCCGCCTTCCTTGTTCCTCTGTTAAGAGAGTTGTCCTCTCCTTTGTTCTGCAGATTTGCCTGGTTTGCTGGTCCTAAGATGCAATTCTCTGCTATTCCTAAGTACACCTATTTTTACTGGTAAAATAACTGCAGTGTGACTGTGTAAGGTTAACAGATCTAAAAATTGGTCGTGGAACTTATGATGAAACCCCGGATATTTCCATAGTCTCAAGTATCCACCCCCACCCCCACCCCGCAAAGACGTTCATTAGTTGTAAAGGGAAAAATAGTAATTTTACAACGAAGACACCATCTGTAGCCCAATGACCAAAGTTAATGTCACCAATGAGACAGCAGTAACATGGAGTTGCTTGCAGGTGCCCCAAAGAAGGACATCTGCGGTGGCACCTCTGGACTCCTGCCTCAAGGGCGTGACTTAAGTCTAATTATAATAAGCAAGTATCATTCAAAATCCCAAACTGAGGGACATCCCACAAGATACCAGGGCGGTACTCTTCAGAAACGTCATGAAAGACAAAGGCTGAGGAGCCAGCACAGAATGAGGAGATCAAGACAACAAAACACAGTGTGGGATCGTGGATTGGTTCCTTGTCTGAACTCAGTCCGTTATAACAAAAAAAATACAACAGACCGGGCAACTTATGAACAAACACGTTTATTTCTCACAGTTCTGGAGGCTGGAAGTTCTAGATCGAGGTGATGGTACATGCGGTGGCTGGTGAGGCCTGCCTCCTGGTTCAGGGGTAGCCCTATGCTCAGATTCCCACTGGGGCCTCTCATAAGGGCTCTCATCCCATTCATGGGGCTCCCCCCTCATGACCTCAGCCCCACCCAAGGCCCTGCCTTCCCATACCATCACATTGGACTTGGCTTTCCACGTAGGAATTTTGGAGGGTGGTGTTCACAATCCTGGACCAAAAAATGGCCTCTACGTCTTTTTTTTTTTTAGATTTTATTTATTTATTTGAGAGATGACAGAGTGAGCGCACGAGTTGGGTGAGGGGCAAAGGGAGAAGCAGACTCCCAGTTGAGCGGGGAGCTGGATGTGGGACTCGATCCCAGGACCCTGAGATCATGACCTGAGCTGAAGGCAGATGCTTTTCTAACTGAGCCACCGAGGCGCCCCCAGCCTTTACTTATTAGGTAATAAGGTTGCATTGGTGCTAATTTCCCGGCTTCAATAACCTGATTGCACCATGGTTAACATAAGATGCGAACATTAGGGGAAGCTGGGTGAAGGGTATCCCGGAACTCTACTATTTCTGCAGCTTTTCTGTCAGTCTAAAATTATTCCAAAATATACGAAAAAGAAAATAATCCCTACCTCAGGGAGTTGTTAGGAAAATGAACTGAGGACACGCAGGTGAAATTTCTAGAAGTAAGAATTCTTAATACTAGCTTTGGGGTTTTTTCTTTTTTGTCACAAGTTGCTTAAATTTTCAAGAAAACATCAATGGCGAGGTCTGGAGTGTCAGGAGGTGAGCTTGTTTTCCTAGTCCTTCCTGACTTCAAAGAACATTATCCAGAAAGAAGATCGTTAGGAGCAGCGCTTGGCCACTAATTGGGGCACACGTAACCCCAAAGCTGGGCTCTATCGCAAACTTTCAGGACCTCAAATCACTCTAACCCCCTCGCATACCAAGGATGAAGGCCAATTTCAGGGAGGTCCGGTGGATCCTGACGGCTCCGCAGATAACCTTAACTCCAAAACTGATGCCCTTCTGCTATGGGCAGCCTGTCCTAAATTGGGATACCTGCTCACATTAAAAAATTCCCTTTTCTGGGTTGCCTGGGTGGCTCAGTGGTTGAGCATCTGCCTTTGGCTCTGGTTGTGATCCTGGGGTCCTGGGATCGAGTATCTCATTGGGCTCCCCACAGGAAGCCTGCTTCTCCCTCTGCCTACGTCTCTGCCTCTCTGTCTCACGTGAATAAGTAAATAAAATCTTTTTTAAAAAAGAAATTTCTTTTTCCTTGCAACTGCCTGCTCTGGACCATTAGAAATTGGCTCCATAAACTGGATGATCACAGCCTTATTCTGTGTTTCACACTGCATGGTTCTGTTGATGTCTTTCCCACTACCTCACCTGCTGTGTTTGACCTTCAGTCCATCACTATGAAGGATTCAATTAGTGGCCAAGCGCTCCTGCTAACAAGATATTTCAGTTGTGAGCTGTTTGGGCCTCCCACTGAAGGTTAGATCTGTGTGTGCATGTTTTCTTTTCAGAAAGACTGAGCCCAAACAGCTTTTGTTTTTTCCTTTTTTGCCTAAAAACAAAACAAAACAAAAAAAAACACACAACCCACACTGGAGAAATAAAAAAAAAAAACATCATTCCAAAGATCCTTTTTAATCACGATGTGAAATCTAGCAGTCCTTAAGGAAACTTAATGACATAAATATCAGTAGATCTCTCTCTCTGTTCGGGACGCTACAAATGGGGTGGGTGTGAGATACAACAGGATTGCATAGAGGAACACCTTTCTCAAGAATAAACAGTTCTGGATTAGGGCTGTGATGTTGGTTCCAGGAATCTATACAGGTGACAAAATGGAATAGACATCCACACACATCCACACTCACTGGTGAGGACATGTAAAAGCTGATAAAACCCAAAAAAGGTACGGAGTCTAGTTAGTTGCATTGCACTCAGGTAGGTTTCCTGATGTTGCACTAACAGTGTACTATGGTTAGGGTAAGATGGAAGCTGGGTGAAGGGCCCATGGGACTCTCTGTATTATTTTTGTGAATATGTGTCCAGAGTTTTTTTGTTGTTGTTGTTCGTTGAAATATCATAAACATGTTTGATAGACAAATGACAGACCGAGAAGTCTCTGCACCCAATATGACACAGGCATATGGGGGTTCTTGCCAATTAGGGAAGAGATGAGCTTTTCCAACGGGAAAGCCGGCAAGCATATGCACAGGCAACCTCCAACAGTGCTGGAGACCCCCACTCCACCAGTGGTGGAGAAGAGTGGCCCACGTCACAGCCTGGAAGAAACAAAATGCCTCCACCTGCCGCTTCTGAGACCTTGACCTTCTGCCAACAGACACTTACTGTTTCGTACCTGCCCATCATGCATCCTCCTTCCTGTTGGCACCCCACTTCCATTTCTGGGCCTCATCGTCAGGGTAGGAATGTGACCAACTGAAGTTAGGCCAATGAATGCTGTTTCGTGACAATCTACTGAGTGAGTGAGGCAGGAGTAGAATGTCCTGATGAAGAGCTCCTGCTTTGAGACAAATGCAGGTTCCTAGCTGCCAAGGCTCCTGGAGCAAGCCCAGTGCCCTTTGCCACCTGTTTCTGTCCTCCTGTGACTTGTGACTAGTTTCCTCTTCCTCTTTATTTCACAGTGGTTTAAGTGAAAGACATCTTATTCCCAAGACTGATTTTAAACATTCCTTCGCTGAGCTTCCTACCTATAAGACACACGGAGATTGATGACATTGTTCAGTTTGCAATATGGATGACAAGGGGCTGATTGCCTTCATATATAAAGGGAGTCCACAATTCAATGAGGCCAATAGGTCAAAAGAAAGGTGGGCAATGATTACTAGTAAACAAGAATCTTAAAACATGAAAATATTCCCACACATGGAAGAAATGGGAGTTCAAATGACAGTGAGATGCTACCTTTAACCCCTAAGATTGGCAATGATAAAAATATTTGATAGCAGGCAGTACTGGTTAAGGAATGGGGGGACAGGCACACTTCACCCTTCTTGGAGAAGTTTACATTGAGGTGTTCTCTTTGGAAGGCAATCCGGCAATCCTCTGTGAAACTAAAAACGAATATGCCTTTTGATAATTCTAGGAATTTACCCTATAAACTCAAACATATGTCCAAAATATGTATAAGACTATTTGTTGTCATATCACTTGTACTGGGGGTTGGTCAATTTCAGCCTGTGGGTTAAGTCTGGCCGCCTGCCTGGTTTGGTAAATAAAGTTTTATTGGCACACAGCCAAACACTCATTTACATATCATTTGTGGCTGCTTTTGAACTAGGTGGGCAGAGTTGAGTAGTTGGATTCTCAGGCTATCTGGCCCACAACGCCGAAAATATTTACTGTCTGGCCTTTTACAAAGTAAGTTGGCTGACCCCTGATTTATACTGATTTAAACAAGAGGCTCAGAATAACCGGTTATCCCTTGATAGGTGCCTGGCCAAATAAATTCTGGCACATTCACAAGGAGGAACAGAATTCAGGTGTTAAAAACAGAGACTGGGATGTGATCATCTCTCTGGAGGGAAGGCATCTTTTCTCTATATATCCTTTTAAAAGCACTACAGTTTTATTTGTTAAGCCATTAAAAATAAAAGCAGAACTTCCCAGAGTATGGAGAGGGTGGAGGTGCCAGGAGAGGCCATGGTGCTGTTGGGAGCTTCAGTACCAGAGTGCCATCTGCTCAGGCAGCTTCCAGTATCCCTAGGTGTCGGGTGCTAGGGCAAATGTGAAAAGGGAATGGCCTGCCCTCCTTGGTAGGTGGTCCCTGATCCTGGAACCACAGAGTCAAGCCTCTGGACAAGCAGAGATACAAAGTAAAGGCAGCCAGTGCAGAGGAACCAGCCAGAAGGACATGCACCTTGGCTGATGCTGTCACCCTGAGGAAGCCTGCAGCGAGGACCGGGCCAGCCATGACATCCTGGGCTGGGTCCCTAGGGGACTGACGGGGGCTGCATCGGGTCACCCCGGCATCCTCCCTGAGGCCCTCACAGCCCCAGCAAGCTTAGGGCTCTGGCACCTCCTGGGACCCCGCCAGGTCAGAGGAACCCCCACCCCCAGCCCCAGGCTTGGAAGGAACCTGAGGCAGGCGGCTGCGCTTCCATCTGGAATCGTTTACTGAGTCCACTTCTTACACGCATAATTATAAAAGAATAAGAATCGACAAAAATATTTTCTTTCCATAATATGTAGAGGTGGTTCGTTTCTGGTGGGGTGGTTTTTTTTTCTTTCTTTTTTTTCTTTTTTTGCTTCTTTTCTTTTTCTTTTTGCCCGCCCCCGGCAGAACTCTTGGCGGAAGGAACAGGGAGGAAGGATAACCCTGAGGCGGGGATGGGTCCGCTCCGAGGCGGGAGCCCCGGTGTGTGTGTGGGGGGGGGGGTGGCGTGCGCGGGGCGGGCCGGCCGAACACTGACCCACGGGGCTCAGGCCTGAACGCTGGGGGGCGGCGGGAGGGGGCGGCCCTGTGCGCACCGCTCCCCCCACCCCCCAACTGGGTGCTGGCTGGGTGGAACTCCGCGGCCCGGGAGCGGACCCCATTCTAGGTTTAGGCACCCTATGCTTTGTATTAAATAATCATCAAAAACGCCCCCCAACAAAACACAATATGAAGTGGGCGGGTCTGGAAGGGACGGCAAACGCATGCTTCCCTGTGGCCAGGTGCGGAGGGCCAGGCGCCCCGCCCAGTGTCCTCGGGCCTCCCGGGGTGCCTGGTGGGGTGGAGGCTCCAGCTCCCAGACCTCGTGTAGGGGAGGGGATGGCCTGAGGAAGTGCCTCTTGGATGGGGGACTCATCCCTCCGTCCTGGCAACCGGGAGGCAGCAGGCAAAAATCCCAGGAGCATTACAAAACTGAGAAAAGGCGTGGGGGGCAGCGAAGGCGAAGGCTGGGGGAGGGGGTGCTGTCCAGAGGGGGCCGCGGGAGGAGGTGCCGCAGGCCCTCCCGCCTGCTCCCCCAGTGGCAGCGGCAGCGGCGGCGGCGGCAAAGCCACTTGTGCTCTGAATGTGCAGCCCCGGCGGGCGGCGGGGGCTCAGAGGTATTCCTGTAGAAAGTGCAGCAGTGTGACTTCATAGTGCTCGCCGGACTCGGGGCAGCGGATACTGTGTCTCTCGTTGGGGTAGATCTGGGTGGACAGAGAAGGCAGGGCTGGTGGCACACAGGGACCTGCCCAAGGTGCTTGCCCCCCCCATTCTAACCCCTCCCCTCCATTCTCCACCCCCTTTCCCCCATCTCCCACCCCCCACCCCCTACCCCAGGCTCAGGGCTGCTTCTGGAGGGTTATGGAAAGAGCAGGCACCCTTGCCGGATAGACCTGGGCTCCAAACCCCTCTGCCCCTGACTTGCTTGCTGTGTAACTGTAGGCCAGTGACCACCTCCCTGACCGCAGCCGCCTTCCCTTTTGGAGAATCGGACCTCTGCAGGCCTTTTGGAGGGCTTGCCGAGCTAGTCTCTCAAACACAGAGCACTTGCACATACAGAATGGCACATTCAAGGGACTGTCTCTCCACCCCCCAAGCTAGGAGCCGCCGCCAAACCTGGGGAGGTGCAAGTCTGTGGGACCTTTGGTACTTGTTCACTGGTGCCACTTGCATTTTACCAAAAGGCTATGAGGACTACACATGCCATGGCTCCCATGACAGGCCTCCCACCCCAGGCTCTCAAAAAGTGTTTTCTGGGTTCTCTCTTACCACCTGAGGGGGGATTGTCCCCAGAGAAGACAAATGACTTGCTGGCGACACCCAAGGAATCACCCAGTCCCTGAGACCTGGCTGAGTGACATTTAGGCCCTTGGGTGATGGTAACAGGAGGTCAGGTCTTGCCTCTGACCATGAAATGAGGGCTCTGGCACCCTAGTAGGTCTCAGATAGACACTGGGGGTTCGTCGGTCAGGATTGAAAACCTGCTCCACACTCTCCCAAATTACCCGACCCCAGTCTCAAGCTGCGTGGGGCTGGCTCATATCAGGGCTGGGGGCCCATTCCTTATCTCTTCCGGCCAGCAAGATGATTTGTGAACTAAACCATTCCTTCCTCTCCAGGCCCACGGCCACTGCCCCAGTTCACTCTGGAATACATTCAAGTGCCCAGAGGTCTCTCTTCCTCCTCCTTTGCCTTCTTTAATCCATTTTGAATGAAGCAAGTCTGCAAGGACTTGTCAGTCTGTCATCAAGAACCTGCCTCCTGGGTCCTGCTGCCCTGTAGCCTCCCAGGCCTCACTCCTCCCCACCAGCACTGCCTGGGACAGACCCTTCGCACCACTCTGGGTTCTGGCTGCCTGTTTACTTCTTCCTCCTTTTGGCTGTGAGGGCAGAGAGAGGGTCTTGAGGATCCCTGCCATGCTCTCTGCCCTCAGCCCTCAGGTCCGGGCTGTGAATGGGCTGTGAACAAGGAGGACCTGGGGCCACCAGCCTCCCAGTCCATCTGTTCCAGGGTGCCTGAAACAAAAGGCGGGGTACGCCCCACCTCCCTCACAGGCTGCCCTGCTCCCACCCTCAGTGTCATCTCACCTCCAACTTCTCATGGGGAGGCAGGGGTGCAGGACTTGGGGCCCGCCCTGTGTGCTAACCCTTCTCCCGAGAGAACCCATTTGGCCCTCAAAGACTCATGGCAGGTAGGAGTTATCCTGCCCGTTTCACAGATGAGGAAGAGAGGCCTGAGGTTAATTGACCTGGCCTATGGCCAGGTGCAGAGCGAGCGGCTCTCCCAGCCACCCCAGCTCAGACTGTCTCGCTCATTGGGGACATTTCAGGTTCCATCCTGGCCCTGCTCACCCTGATCTGCAGCTGCCTCTGGCCTGTTAGTGCAAAGCATGTGTGGCTGGGGGGCCTCCATCCTGCCCTGTCTGGAAAGGTCCCTGAGGTCTGTCCCTCCTGCCCTGTGACCCTCAGTTTCTCCGTCTGCTTAATGGCAACATGGTACTCCCCTGAGGGCAGAGCGCATGGAGGCTTCTGGGAGGCAGAAACACTGAGGCTGGCAGGATAAAATTTGTCCCTCCCACCTCTCTCACTTGGCTGGCCCCTTTCCTGCTACAGCTGACTATGGCTCACATCCCACTGGGTCCTCTGGGCCCTTGTCTAGAGGGCATCCGAAGCGAGGGGGACCAGACACCGCACCCTTTGAAGGCCCCCAGCTGCGGCCCCGCCCCCACCGCTGAAGCCTGTCCTTCATCACCAAGGCCCTGCCCTTCACCTCCAGCAGCTGCCCTCATGAAAGACCCACCCCTTTTTGTGGAGCTACGCCCCTTGCCCAACACCACACCCCTGCCCGAGGCCGTGCCCAAGGGGTCCCACCCATTGCCTGGCCTTGGCCCCCCAACTCCTCTCCCTGCTCACTCCATCCACCCTGGCCTCCTGTCTCCGGGCTGCTGCCTCCAGCACTTTCCTGTGCCTGGTGAATACCCCCAGCCCCCCAGCCTCCCACATCTGGGCTGGGCTGGACACCCCCCAACTTTCCAGCATCCTCACCGGTCACCTCCTCAGGGAACCCTTCTCTGATCCCAGTCACCCTGAGATGCTCTCAGCGCCCCATACCATTCCTTCCAGGTAAATTTTTTGGCTTAAGGTAAAATGGTGTGGGCGCGATAATTTCTATAACACTAACCTCCCTCCACCAGGCTGAGCTGGGGAGGGCTGGCCTGGCCCCCAGTGTGCCCAGTGTCTAGGGCACCACCCACGATCAGTACATGATTGCTGACTGGAGGTGGGGACCCGAGGGCCTGGGGAGGGGCCTGGGGAGCCATGGAGGCAGCGGTGCGGGGAGCTGCCTTGGGGGCCAGCGCAGAAGCAGGTGACTCCGCTCCCACCCCCCCCTGCGGACTCCTGGGGAGGCACCACCCACCTGGAGCTGGTAAGGTTTTCCTGCTCGGATCAGCTGGGAGACAAGAAAGTTTGTGTGGAAAAAGTGCACGTTCTCATCCAGGAAGCCGTGCAGGATGAGCAGGCGGTTGGGCCTGGAAGACAAAGTTGGGTGAGGGTCTGAGGTGGGACCCTCTTCTCCCGCCCAGCTCCAGCAGCAGCCAGGACAGGCAGCAGCTCAGCAACGCAGCACGGTGGAGCACGCAAAGCCTGAAGGCTGGAGGTGCCACAAGCACGTCTGGAGACTCCCTCGCTTCCTTTCAGGCAAGGAGGGGAGCGAGGTGTGGGTGTGCTGTGCCATGGTATGCCGAGCTACAGAGAAGCTTCTAGAGCAGTGCTGCCCCACCGCACTGTGGGATGAGGGAATGTTCTAGACTGGTCCTACCCAATGCAGTCACCACCATCATCACCACATGTGGCTACTGAGCACTTAAAATGTGGCCAGAATGACCGAGGAACTGTAGTTTTTAAAAATCAGATTTTTTTTGGTAAAGAGAGTGCACATGTGTGGGAGGAGGGGGAGCGGCGGGGGGGGGGGTAGAGTGAGTCTTGAGCAGGCTCCAACCCCAGCGCGGAGCTGGGGCTCCACCTCACGACCCTAGGGATCATGACTGGAACTGAAATCAAAAGTTGGAAGCTTAACCAACCCAACCACCCCGGTGCCCCTAAAACATTGATTTTTCAAAATAATTTACTGAAATGAAATTCACATAAATAATCTAAAAATACCTCATTGCGGGCTCAGTGGTTGAGCGTCTGCCTTTGGCTCAGGGCATGATCCTGGGGTCCTGAGATCAAGTCCCACATCAGGCTACCTGCAGGGAGCCTGCTTCTCCCTCTATGTCTCTGCCTCTCTCTCTCTCTCTCTCTGTCTCTCATGAATAAATAAGTAAAATCTTTAAAAAATAATAATAATAAAATAAAAAAATAAAAATACCTCATTGCAAACTGAAGGATTTGGGGGCATTTGGTGGATTCCCAATGCTGTGTGACCACCACCTCTACCCAGTTCTAGCAAAGCCCCCTGACGTTAGCAGTCTCCCTGGACCCCCTGGCAACCAGCAGACAGTCTGTGTCTGTCTCGGCCCAGTTATTCCGTCAGTAGCTGTGAACCAGTGTGAGCTTCAATTCGGGGGTCACTATTGCTCCTTGTGCCCAGACTAGATGGCACAGACCCAGAGTGCTGGCTTTCAAGCTTGGCTGTGTCGTGTGTGTGTGTGTGTGTGTGTGTGTGTGTGTGTCCCCATACACACCCCCCCTCAGCATCTCCAGGGAGCCCAGGGCCACACTCCAGGTCACAGAGAACAGCTTCGCCAGGAGAGGGTCCTGGGTAGGGTCAGCATGCATGGAGAGCCCAGCACTAAAGGTGTGGCCCAGGGAAGTCCTTCACCAGATCGAGCCACACCAGAGGGGGGTGACATCGTTCTTTCCGTCAGACAAAGGAGCCCATACCAAAGGCTGACACCGGACGTCTAAGCTGGTCCCACAGACCCAGATGCTACAACCACGTGGACCTGTGCCCTGAACCATTGGATGTCAAAAGCCCACAAAAGAGGGGCTGATCAGGTTCGAGACCCAACAATGGCCCCACAGCTTATTAGGGATTGAGGGAGGCCCGCATGTACAAAGCAGTGAGATTCTAGAGCCTTCCTTCCAACATTCTAAGGGCAGGGCACCCTGGGGGCCTGCTGCTTCCATGAGGAGCACTGACGAGGGAGGGCCTCAAGGGGGTGTGAAGCGCAGGCAGAGGGAGGCTCGGTGGCCACAGGAGTACAGCGCCAATACGGGAGGCCCAGCCTTGCAGGCGGACACAGAAAGGGCAGGGGGACAGTGGCAGCAGGGAAATGGGGGTCATGGCGACCCTGAGGGCTGAGGGCGGGTGGGGGCCTTACTCATTGGGCAGCTTCTCCACGTGCAGAGCTACAGAACCCGCCTCGTAGCCAAGCTGGTTGTTCTCCGGGACGTCCATGTAGCGCTCAGTGTACCCTGTGTCGTAGGCCATCCAGACTGTGACCGGGGCGCCCGCGATGGCCACCTGAGGGCCACAGTGGACAGAGTGGGGTCAGGGAGACAGAGAGAGAGAGAGACAGGGAGAGAGAGGGAGAGAAGGAAGCAGAGGGAGCGGAGAGGAGAGAGGAGAGAGAGAGAGATACACACATGAGTCAGGTCTCAGGAGCCCTCGCTGGCCTGCCGGCTGTCCCGGGGCCTCCCCCGAAGGACGTGAGGAGCGGACATGCACACGGGGACTGGCAGGGGAGGGGCCCTCAGACCGTGTCCCCCGTGGATCGTGCGATGTCGAGGGAGGGCGGGTGAGCTGAACGAGTGCGTTCAGGCCGGGCTCAGCCCCTCCCTGGTCCCACTGCCTTCCTGCCTCCTCCTCCTCATCGCCGCCCCGCGGTGCCCTGCCAGTGGGGCCGGCCTGGGGGCCCCTCCCCCGACGCTCTTCACACCATGCCCCACCTCTGCCCATCCGAGGCCGGGGTCCCGGGCTCAGCCTCCCACAGAGAGCTGCTGGCGGGGTTTTGTGCAGCCGGATGCCATCCTGGGGTCAGCAGTGGCGGGCAATGAGGAGGGGGGCTCGGCCCCATGGGGCTGCTGCGGGGAGAAACAGCCACGTGGCAAGGCCCCTGCCGAGATGCCTCTCCGGGGGGGCGGGCTCCGAGGGGCACAGGCGGGTGCCCGCAAACAGGAGGGGGACGGGGTGGGACCCACCTTGAACACTTGGGGCTTATGGATCAGCCCCATGAGCGAGAGGAAGCCTCCGTACGACCACCCGTGGATGGCAACTCGGCTCAGGTCGATGAAACCATACTTCTCGGCCACAAACTGCAAGCCCTCCACCTGGTCCTCGATCTCCACCTGGCCCTGAGGGATGAGGCCAGGCACCTCTCAGAGGCCTCTTCCGTGTGCGAGCCCTGCTGTCCCACCTCTGTCCCTTGTGTACCAAAAGCAGGTCTCTGGAAGGTACCCATCTCTCCAGACCCTGTCCCAACCTGCTCTCGGGGGGCCAGTGGTCAGACAGGCCCAGCACCAGCCCCGCGCTGCCACCTCCTGGCTGACCTGGAGAAAGTCACATCTCCCCTCCTGGGCCTCAGTTTCCTCACCCCTAAAATAGGACGTCAACATGAATGGGACCACTTTACAGTGGGCATGAGGAGGAAACAAGGTGGTGAGTGTCCTGTACTCAGAGGCCTGGCACATGATAAGGCTCGATAAACAGCAGGTGTCATCACCGTCATCATCCTCATCACCTCCATCCTCACTATTATCACTGTCCTCCACCATCATCTCCATTCTTATCACCTCCATCATTGCCACCATCACCACCATCATCTCCATCTTCATCACCACCACCACCACCATCATGCCCATCATCACCACCATCATCCTCCACCACCACCACTACCCTCCACCATCATCATCATTCCCATCATCACCACCATCTCCATTCTCATCACCTCTACCACCATCCTCCATCATCTCCATCACCACCACAATCATTCCCACCATCACCATTTCTTCTCATCACTTCCACCATCATCATCTCCATCCTCCTCATCACCACCACCATTATTCCCATCACCACCACCCTCCATCATCATCTCCACCCTCACCACCACCACCACCACCAGCATTCTCATCATCACCACTATCATCTGCATCCTCATCACCACCGTCTCCATCCTCACCATAACCACCACCATCATTCCCACCATCATCACCACCTCATCACTTATACCACCACCCTCCATCTTCTCCATTCTCATTACCATCACCACCATCACCACCGTCTCCATCCTCGCCCACAACCACCACCATCATTCCTGCTACCACCACTATCTCTTCTCATCACTTCCTCCACCACCCTCCACAATCATCTCCATCCTCACTACCACCACCACCACCATCATCTCCATCTCCATCCTCACCACCACCACCATCTTTCACCATCATCCTCATCTTCATTACCACCACCACCACCATTACCATTAGTACCACTTCTACAGCCACCAGTCCCTGTCTGTTCCAGCTGTTGGGACTTCCTGCTGATGGCACTTATACTGTTATGTCTGGCTCATCTGGGCCTCAGGCACCAGGTGGGATGTGTGGATACCTGTCTTGCCATGGGCTGTGGCTCAGAGCAGAGCATCAGAGTGGACATTTTCCTTGGTTCCAAGAGTCCACCCTACTAATGCCTGCCATCCGGCCAGGACTGCCCTTGAGGAGGTGTTCCAGAGCTGCCCCCAAGCCCCAGGGCTCCCCTGACCATACAGGAAAGGCCCAGAGAAACTGTGAAGAGATGTTACCATTTGGTTTTTCAGGGCCCCTTCGAACCGAAGCCCTCGCTGACACGAGCCCCTGCCATCGATCACGACCACGGCATAGCCCAGGGACGCCAGCGTGTTGAGCCGCAAATACTTGATTCCTTTGAAGGAGTTATTCACCAGCTGCACCTTTAAGGGGAAAGTGAGGAGAGGACATGGAGCTTTAGGATGGGTGGCAAGGATTCCAGTGTGAGATACCAGGCAGGAGGGGCTGGATGGGCCAGAGGCAGGTGGGATGGGGCCGGGGGTCTCACAGTTTCATCAAGACTCTTGTCCTTTACTGTGAAGGCTATGCGTGGCCCTGGTAGGGTTCTAGCCACCTTGTAGCCTACGTCAGGCAGGGGCCCACTCTGTACCAGGTCTGTGCTTAGGATGGGCTCCCTCCTCAGCCGGGACCTCTGCCATGGGCCTGCCTGGAATTACTCCCTTATTTTTTGAGACACGTTTTGCCTCCTGTCTACTGCAGTTTTCTCTAAAAACATATAAAAACCAGTGGTGGCAGGCAGTTGTGTTCTCGGAGTTAACTTGACTTAAAGCAGTTCCTCATTTTGGCACTACTGATGTTTGGAGACTTATCAGTCTCTGCCATGGCAGGTACTGCAAGGGATTGACTGTCCGAGGCCCCCACTGTGGCCATGAAGACTACAAATGTCCCTGGACACCGGCAAGTGTTCCCTGGGGTACAGAATATCCCCAGGTGAGAAACCGCTATCTTAGATGGTCCCCAACCAATCTGCCTGCCTGGACCTGTCTTGTCTCCTCAGAGAACTGGGCCCAGGGTCCATGGCCTCTGCTGTCCCAAGATCAGTGATCAAGGGTGACAGTGGGTCACTGCTGGGCAGGTGGACCAGATGGGACACCTGGGGGCTAGGGGAGGTTTCCCAGAGGGACAAGGGAGCATCAGCAGGGGGAAGAGAGTTGTATGAGAGGGTGGGGTGTACAGAGACTCAGAGGCAGGAGGGCTAGGACCCCAAGAACCCTGTGATCAGTGGGGAGGGGACCCCCTGCTTGCATTAACCCTTCTTCTAGCCTGGCTGGCACTCAAGTCTTGGCATGAAGGAAGGGGGTGTGTGGGGAGCAGGGCTGGCACCCACCTGGGGGCCTCCATACACAAAGAGGACAGTGGGGTGCTTCTTTCCTGGCTGCACAGCGTGGGGCTTATAGATCATGCCGTAGAGCCGCACGTCTGACCGTGTGTGGAAATGGAAGATTTCCGGGGGCACGTAATCCGGGGGGCAGCCTGTAGAGACAGAGTGGCTATGGCTTTTTGGGCCAGAGTGCCCCAGAGAAGCACATCTGGCTGAAACCCACAGTCCACTGCCTGGCCCTTGACTGCAGAGGGTAGACAGGAGGCACTGTCTTCTGTGCTTTCTGATGGTTTAAATCCGAATCCAAGGGCCACAAAAGTCTCTGGTCCCAGGAGTGTGTGTGTGGCAGGCTGCAGTCCCCAGCAGCCCCCCGACACCTGCTGATCTGATCTCCTATGGGGGTGGCAATGCCTCTGGGATTTGAGTAACAGCCAGTCTTATCATCTGCTTCTGATGTTCACCTTTATTTCTGCCAAGCAAGAACATTGGTTTTCCAATCATGACAGTTTATTTAGGTAAATGGAGAAAGTCACTTTAAAAGAAAATTAAGGGGATCCCTGGGTGGCGCAGCGGTTTAGCGCCTGCCTTTGGCCCAGGGCGCAATCCTGGAGACCCGGGATCGAATCCCACGTCGGGCTCCCGGTGCATGGAGCCTGCTTCTCCCTCTGCCTATGTCTCTACCTCTCTCTCTCTCTCTCTCTCTCTCTCTCTCTGTGACTATCATTAAAAAAATAAATAAATAAATAAAAGAAAATTGGGATCCCTGGGTGGCGCAGCGGTTTGGTGCCTGCCTTTGGCCCAGGGCGCGATCCTGGAGACCCGGGATCGAATCCCATATCGGGCTCCCGGTGCATGGAGCCTGCTTCTCCCTCTGCCTGTGTCTCTGCCTCTCTCTCTGTGACTATCATAAAATAAAAATAAAAAAAATAAAAAAGAAAAAATAAAAAAAGAAAATTAAGTTAACTGTCACGTGGGTTGGGAGTCAGAAAATGTTTTCTGTAAAGGGTCAGCTGGTGAGTTTTGTCTGCATCTTAACTACATGGCTTTGCTGCTGGGGCCCCAGTGTAGCCGTTGAAAGTACCTAAATGACTGGGAGTGGCCAGGCGTGGCACGTAGGCCGTGTTGGCTGACTTCTTGTAGAAGTGGTCTACGAACATGCCAAGACTGGGAGTGTCCGGACGTGGTGCCTCGGTCCACCTGCCTGCAAGTCCAGGGCTGGGCACCAAGACACCGCACTTCCCACCACTGCCCTCTTGCTGGGTGCCTGGGTAAGACCCACCCTTCTCTTGGTTTTATCTGTAAAACTGGGACCAGGGTTCCTGCTCTGTCATGTCCTGTGGTGATGTGGGGAGAGTCCTAGACTGAGTAAGCTACTGGCTGGAGATTTATACCAGGTCTCAGAGGACGATGATGTAACAAGATGCTTTCCAGCCCACAAACGCCAGGGATTCTTATTTCCTAGAATGTTCTGGAAATCTAGCAAGTGGCAACTCTGGGGTCAGGGAAGGGTGTCCTTTTTAGTGCATGATTCCTGTGTGCCAGGCACTGTACGGAGTGTTCAGTTTTCATCCCGCAGACTGCCTGCCATGGGACTGTTTCATAGAGGACACACTGAGTGACGTGCCTATGGTTCTGGAGCCAGCAGTGGAATCTGGGGTCACCTGAGCAGAGTCCAGGCCACCCTTCAGGCTCCAGGACAAACTGGCAAGTTGCCTCCAGTTTCCCGAGGCTGTGCTCATGCCCAACCCCCCTGGCTCCTTCCACAAAAGCACCGGAATATGTGCCCTGTGCAAATGCCCATGGAGACAGCTGCCCAAGGATGAGGAGAGGCCCCCTGTAGGGACTCTCTGTGTCAGGCAGCTGGTCATGAACTGCATCTGTGCTGTGTCACACCGTCCTTAACCACAGCACAGGAGTTAGAGACTGTCCCAGGTGGCAGGGCCCACAGGACAGATGGGGCCACTGGGCCACTTGCTGCCTTGAAGCTGCTAGAACGGCCCCTGCTTGCCAGTGTTTTTTAACAGGGCCACACCCTATTTTACAAACAGGCAAGTGGAGGCTCCCAGGGATGCTGGGCAGGGGAGACTCTGTCAAGGTCCCCAGGGGTGCAGGGCTACTCACTGGCCGCCTCCATCATGCTGGCCCAGAAGCGGGGCTGCTTGTGCAGAGGGTCATCATCAGGGCCGCTCAGCTTATAGACGTGCACGCAGGGTGGTGTGCCCACGCTGCTGTAGTGGCTGATGAACATGTCGAAATTCTGTGGGCAGGACGGGGCGCTGAGCACTGCACGATGCATCCTTCCTGACCTCCCAGTCTGCTTTGGCTCCCTCCGCCCCCATCACCCACAAACCTATGTACTGTCCACCCTGTGTGCTCACTTGTTTAAACTTCAATGCTCTTCTACTCACATGGGTGCTAGTACCCCCCACCATTTCACAGATAAGCAAATGGAGGCCAAGAGGAATCTGTTCCCTGGCCAGGGATCCCCCACTTCCCCTGATCCGTCACCCTCGATGGTAACTGACCAAACCAAGGTCATACCCTGATCCTTCTGATGTCAGAGCCTGCTCATGTTGCTGGTTCTACAGTGCACAAACTGCTATCAAATGCTTGCCCTGGACTGGAAGTAGCCTGGTACACATTCGCTCCTTGACATTCTAGAATGTTCTGACAGGCTAAGGGTGGGTGCCAGAATGGTGCCATCAGGCACATCTAGAGAGTGCCCACCTGGCTCATGGAGCAGCTGTGAGAGAAGCCAGGTGTGGTAAGGCGCACGATCTCGCCTGCCGACTCATAGCTGACCACGTAGAGGTGGTGCTCCAGGGGCGTGTCCTTTGTACCTTGGAAGTACACCAGCTTCGTCTCCTCGTTGACCCAGATCTGTGGGGGCACAGGGGCTCCTCGTGAAGCAGCCCCAGGCCCGGCCTGGCATTTCCCATGCCTTTGCTCCCACGGTGGCTGGGGGAGGAGGCGGACACCCAATGGAGGGACCCAGGCCTTTGTCCCTGTCCCCACAGGGATGGCTCAGAGTTCTCTGGCAAGATTTGATCTCTCCACTGGCTTTAGCCCACTGGCAGGAAGAGTTAGCTGGGAGAGAAGCGCTCCTCAGCCTGGGTGGGGCGGGCGCGGACGGCGATCTAGCTGCGCTCACTGCAGGTCCCCTGGTAGGACTTAAAATCAGAAGGCCAACCCCAGACAGCCCTTCTGGGAGTGCTCAGAGCTACGAGTGCAGAGCAGAGGGCACAGTGCCTGGGACCGAGGCTGACGGAGGGGCTGGCCTGTGCTGGAGGACCCACCAGCCCCTTGCCCTTGGTCACCAGGAGGTCAGCCCACCCTTCTGACCCGGTGCTCGGGGCTCAGAGGCGGCAACTCCTTGTGCCGGCTGCTTCTTGGGTGAACCCCCATCAGACCTCAGTGTGCAGTTATGTGATGAGCCCTCGGGAAGAACAGGAAGGAAACCTGCTCCGGGGATCAGAAGAGCCACTGCCTTTCTGGGGCCAAACTGGCTACACAGAGGTAAAACACTTAAAGTGGGTATGTTCTCTGACGCAGCGATTATGTTCCAGGGAACTGTTCCTAAGGGCTTCGCTCGAGGGGTGACTTCAAGTGGAAGGACAAACATGCTGTGTTCTTATTGTTAAACAAAAGTGATGACTTGAGAATGTCCAAAATGACAGACTGGCTTCAAAATTACAGCCCAATTCTCTAGCTCAGTTGGAGTGTGTGACTCTTGATCTTGGGGTTGTGGGTTCGAGCCCCATGTTGAGGGCAGTGATGACTTAAGTAAATAAATAAGTATTTAAAAAACAAAATAAAAAAACCCCAACATCCTGTGGAGATGTGTGCAAACAAAAACACTCTGCTGGGGTTGTCGCGGGGGTCAGCCACCTCTGACAGGAAGTCTTCGGGAGCCTGGAGTGGGGAGTGAGGGTATCCCTAATGTAGTGTTACCTAGAATGGTTCAGTTTGTACAACAAACGCTATTGTATCCTTTGTTGCTGTCCTTTTAAAATGAATGCAGGTTTTCTAGAAACAGAATGTTGCTGGAAAACCAACCACACACGGTCGCTTGCAGTTTTGTCACAAGGACCACGTGAGAAGATGCACACGTGGAAGGAGGCGCTCCCCAGGTGCCTGGACCCCCCCCTGCACCCCAAATAGTGCAGGTGGCTCAGAGCTGGAGGGGACATGAGAGGCCAGTCTTTCCCCTTGTAACGTTTAACATGTTGCTGTGTTGTCAATGATACTTCAGTTAAGAATTAAAAAAATTGGGGATCCCTGGGTGGTGCAGTGGTTTAGCGCCTGCCTTTGGCCCAGGGTGCGATCCTGGAGACCTGGGATCGAATCCCACACGGGCTCCTGGTGCATGGAGCCTGCTTCTCCCTCTGCCTGTGTCTCTGCCTCTCTCTCTCTCTCTCTGTGACTATCATAAATAAATAAATAAATAAATAAATAAATAAATAAATAAATAAATAAATAAATAAAATGCTGCTGTGGTTTTTTTTTACTTTTGTTTTTTAATGTCTGGATAAAAACCCAGGTGTGTAAGAGTCACAAGGCCCACAGTGGTTGAGAAAGGGCAGAGTTCTAGTTGGTGGGTCTACCAGATGTTACCCTGGGGGCTTTGGGTTACTCTAAGGCAGGGTCCTCATCGGGGCGGTCCTGCCCACCCCCTTCCCCCTCAGGTACATTTAGCAACATCTGGGGACATCTGTGGTTTTTATACCTAGGATGGGTGGGATGGGGAAGGCTGCTGCCCGGGATGCCTAGATGTGGGCAGGCTGAGGGGGAAGAGACTCTGCCGTGAAGATGAGATCAGAGCTCCCCGACCACCCCGTCTGACAGATGAGGAATGGGAACGGGAGCACAGCTACTGAGGGGCAGGGCTAGGCTGTGGGCCCAGGGGTGCCTCTTAGCAAGAATCAACCACAGCAGAGCAAATGAGGAGGCAACCTTTAACCTTTTGGTACCCGACCCTCTGGCTCGCCTCACAAATAGGAGGTGAACGTGAAATCTAACAGAATCACATCTCACACCTTGCTTCTGTTCCAACAATTCACAGGGGCATCTTTCCAAGTCAGTGACAGGGCACTCTGTCAGGTGTGGTTATGCTATACTCAACACCTGGATCTGTACGACCTGGACATACCGAAGTCACTCCTTGAGGGCTCACTCTAGTGTTCACTGACCACTATTTCCCACTGCATAAACAGCTCTGTGATGCACGCATGCGTGCTAACATCTCTAACGTCTGTCTTTGGTCCAGGAGGCATTTATGCAGGTGTGAGGTAGGGATCCAGAAGTCTGATTAAGAGCTCTCTCCATAAAATTTGGAATTTTGTAGAATTGGACCCTGATGAAGAAGTTTTGGTCAGATGCAAGTCCTGCCACATTTTTATGATGGTGCATTTGGGTGAGTGGAAGGTACACCGCTTGTCTCTGCAGCTGCATCCTTGTTCCCAAACCTCCCGGGGACAGACGGGGCAAGGGCAAGCCCCAGTTGGAAGCTGCAGGGCAATCCCATGGTAGGCAAAGCGTCCCAGGGAGAGGTGGTTTCATGGAGTGGGAGGAAGGCTAACGGACTGCAACAGGTGCACAGAGCAGGCCCCACTTCCCGGACTGGGGTTGTCTCCAGCTGGCCAGAACCAGAGCTCTATGGCCCAGGGCATGCTGGAGCAGTGGACGGAGCTGAGTGGAGCAGAGCAGGAGGCAGGCGCAGCCAGGAGGGAAGAGAGAAGCCACAGGCACACAGGGTCTGCAGGGAAGCTGGAGCGCGAGTGCGTGCAGGGCGGGTGGGGAGGGTTGCAAAGAGATTCTGGTACCTTGGAGCCGTGCCTTGCCAAAACCTCCCATTCACCGCTAGTCAGCGCGATCTCCTCCTTGATGGGGCATTTAAATTCATCTAGAAGTAAGGAAAGGAAGAGTTGAAGGGGGCCCCAGGCAGCCATGAAGGGGACTCAAAGGCCCTGAGGCCAAACTCCATCTGAGCAAACTTGTCAGAGACCCCCAAGCCGGGCCAGGTGGGAGACGAGATTGAGCTGGCCGGGCCCCAGATGTAGTATGGGGCAGGGATGCGCCCCACTGGCCACGGGGGCTGTGTGCAGGTTCCAGCGTCTCCCAGGGAAAACCAGACAGCTGCGCTTTTATTGGAAGCACCGATTTTAGAACCCTGCCGAGGCCAAACCATCCACCTTCTGGGCTCTTAACCTGTGACCTCCTAGAACGTGTTAGGATTTTGGAGAACCAGAGCTTGGTCACAACACTTTGGCTGAGCAAAGGTTCGGCTGAGTTCTTATGTCAGATTTTGGATTGCTGTGTTGTTGTTGTTGTTGTTGTTGTTGTTGTTGTTTTTGGGTAGATCTCACTTTTGAATTTCCGCCAGGTAAAGAACTACGGGCTGCCTGCTGACACACATCACAAATTTATTAAGACAGTTTACGAGTGATGGCTGTTTCATTCTGTACACAAACGACACCGGTTTGGCAGACATGGACTCCTGGTACAAGCATCTGGGCCCAGGGACTGGTCACAGCTGGATCTGGGAGGGTGGGAGGCTCCTCCCGTGTCCCTCACTCACATGGAGGCTGGACATGGCTGATTTGTCGCTCACTCAGATTTTTTGTTTTAAACATGGAACGCTTCACGAATTTGCACGTCATCCTTGCACAGAGGCCACGCTCATCTTCTCTGTACAGTTCCAGCATTAGTGTGTGTGCTCCTCAAGGGAGCACTCGTTCAAATCTGGACCGGCGCTGTTCCATCATGCCTTACAGAAGGTGCAGGGTGGGGAGCAGAACCACATGTGGCCACCGGAAGAGCCCTGCTTCTGCTCGATTCTCCTGCCCCTCCGGGGGGAACCTGGGGCACCCAGCTGACAGCCAGCCGCACCCTCCCTCAGTGCTCCTGACCCTCCTCCCTCTTCCCCAGGCACGCCAATGGGCTCCTTTAAAGGACTCCTGCCTTTTGATCCAAAGTGACCAAGGTCTTGCCTTCTCGGCCGACCAACTGCCACCTAGCAGTCCCAAGCCACAGGACAGTAAGTGCCGGCTGGGAATGCCGGTGGACTCGCACAGGATGGGCAGAGGCAGGAGCTCCACCCAGCAACCACCAGAGGCTGAACGAGGATGTGCCCACTGAGGTCTCCCAAGGTTAGATTAGGTGGTGCCAGCTTAGTCAGATAGAGGGAAAAGCACAACACAGAAAATCCACCTTGGAGATGGCCTAGCTAGCCTGTGTGGACTGCAGGACACCCCAAGACAGCGGTGACAACATCCCAAGACAGCAGTCACTCCTCTAGCTCCTTCTTACTGGACGCCTGGCAGCTCGTGGCTTCGCCTGTTCCTGATCCCTGGGCTTGGCTTCCCTGGACACCACATACTCTCCGGCCTCCATGCCCCGTGTGGCACTGCCTCGGGCTTGTTTGTGGGGCTGCCTCTAAAATGTGGGGCTCCCCTGGGATGATCCTGCCCTAGGGGACACTGGGCAATGTCTGGGGACATCTGGGGCTGTCACGATCACGGGTGTTCCTGGCACTGACTAGGTGGGGTCAGGGTGCTGCTCAGCCCCCCACAGAGCCCAGAACGAGCTGGCCCAGGGTCCGCATAGTGGGGGGAGCGCCTGAGGCACCCTGGGTTGGCTCTCAGCCCACACTGCTTCCTCGCCCAGACTCGGCCTTTTGGTGCTCCGTCCTGTCTGGAGGCTGAGATCCCATCTGTGTGAGGACGCCCAACGCCCACTGCAAATGCATTCTGCTCCCTGGAACTCCAGATGCCAGGACCTGCCCACACAGCATGTCCACTCTCGGGCACTTCAATGTGAACACATCCAAACCCCAACTGGACATTTCCTGAAACTGTCCCTCTCAGGGTCTTTCTGCCCACACTGACCCTCCAAAAACCTTCCAGGCACCTGTGCCTTTCTTCTTTCTCTCTCGCACCCTACAACCAGCAAACTGTGGTGACATAGAGGTCAAAGTTCATTCAGAATCGAATCCACCTGGGTTAGCCCAGCCTGCTGCCACGACCCATCCTTGTCACTTCTCCTGACCCCTCCACACAGCAGCCCCAGGAATGGCTTTAAACTAATAGCAATGGGATAAAAGCCCAAGTCCTCCCTGAAGCCCCCAACCCCCCACACGACCTGCCTGGTTCCCTCTCTGCCTTCCCCTCCCCATCTCTCCTTCCCTCACTCTGCTCCAGCCACAAGGGCCTCCTCACTGCTCTGGCAACACACCAGGCAGCTACTGCCCCAGGACCTTTGCACAGGCTGTGCCATTAACCTGGAATGATCTGTGTGGCTAGCCGCCTCTGCTACCTGTTACAGGTCTCTGCTCCAGAACATGTTATCCAGAGAGGTCCCTTGACCTCCAGCTAGAAAGAAAGCCTCTCACTCTCTAACCCATTGTCCTGTTGCATCTACCATCATGCTCATTACTCTCAATTATTTTTGGATTATTGCCCATTTCCTCCACTAGGGAGTTCCATAAGAGCAGAGATTTCTTTCCTCTTTTTGTAATTATACCCCTGACACCTAGAGCAGGGGTTGGCCACTTTTCCTATAAAGGGCCAGACAGCCAACATTTTCAGCCTTGCAAGATCTATGTCACACTACTCAACTCTGTCATTGTGGCATGAAATCAGCCACAGACAATCAATCCATAAATGAATGTGACCATGTGCCAATAGAACTTTATTTACAAAGACAGGCAGTGGGCTAAATTTGATCTCTGGCCGTGTTGAGCCAACCCCTGGTGCGAGACGGGCCTGGAGCATGGTAGGAGCTAAATAGATACCACTGACTTAACGGACAGTTGGCTATAACAGCCCCCGCCAGACCATGAATGATGTTCGGGAAAGGCTGGCTGTTTACTCTTCCTGCCCCCGCCTCATGGGGCTGGTCACAGGGCGGGGTCAGCGAGCAAGCAGTGCACTGTGCCACAGACGGCCGACTGGGTGAGCAGTGGTGTTAGTCAGGCTTTGCTCACCTTCCCCAGGGCTGAGAGGCTCACTCCAGTCGTAGCCACTGGGCTTTAAGATGGCGGTGACCTTGTACAAGTGGCAGAAGCCAGTCTTGCACTCGTTGGCACGGATGAAGCAGAGCTCATCCTCTCCCTCTGACTGGGGGAAGGGATAGAAGATGTCGTGCACCTGTCCAGGAAGAAGAGAGAAGATGCATCAGAAGGTGGGGCTTTGCCAGTTGGCTGGACTCACATGGAGGGCAATCCAACCACCCCCCCAGGGACTCCGCCCTCCCTGCCCCACCCCATTGAGGATCTGGGGGCCCAGGGAGCATGCACACCCGGCATCTCCCCACCCTTACGTTGATCCACACATCGGTGACCTCCTCGTACACTATGTGCGGCTGGATGTTCCTGGGCACTGCTCTGGCGAAGGCCACCCGCTCCTCCTCGTTCTCGGTGGTGGGGATGAACAAGGCTGGGGGCAGCAGGACGAGCTGGAGCCGCTGCTGGGGCCGGTCCAGGAACATAGCCCAGGCACTGAGAGAGCAAGAGGAGAGAGCAGCCGAAGGCCTCAGGGCCCAGCAGGGGAGCCGGGGGACAGACGCCTCACTTCCCAAACATGTGGGACCAGAACCACCCTTCCTTTGCCACCGTTGTCTACACTTGACCAAGCAACCCCACAGCACACAAAGGTCTCCTGGCTAGCACATGCCCTCTGGAGAGACGTGACGGGCGACAGAACTCTATAAATCAACTATTCTGGAAACATCTCGGTATCATTAGACCTTACAGCAGCATTTCAAGAACTTTGCAATTTCTGCCAAATCCTCAGCCCGCATACGCTATTGTTTACTTCCTGTTGCTCTGAACAGTGTTCTGTCTTTCTTCCTTTCTTTGGGAAATAAATTGTTTATTCTGTTGAACATGAATTCTTAAGGACTTGGGATGGAAGCAATCAGCAACTTAAAAAAAAAAAAATCCTGTTGCGGGGCAGGGGGAGGGCACCTGGCTGGCTCAATCCGTGGAGGGTGTGACTCTTGATCTCAGGGTTGTGAGTTCAAGTCCCACACTGGTGTGGAGATTATTTTTTTAAAAATCCTGTTTGGAGCTACTTTGTCAGGTATATTCTGTCCTCAAAACAACTGCTTTGAAACAGCTTTTAAGGACCGCCTGGGGGGCTCAGGGGTTGAGCATCTGCCTTCAGTTCAGGTCATGATCCTGGGGTCCTGGGATCAAGTCTCACATCCAGTTCCCCACAGGGAGCCTGCTTCTCCCTCTGCCTGTGTCTCTGCCTCTCTCTCTGTCTCTCATGAATAAATAATATTAAAAAAAAAAAAAGCAGAACTTTCAAAAATTGAGAAAAAAAAAGTTTTCTGTACCTTTTTCAACTGTAAATGGACAACCTGTTTGAAACAGAGACCTGTCAGTACCGCAGGTGGGGAGGTTGGATCTCAATATAAAGAGAGAATAATGGAACCCAAACCAGCAAATGATGCCACGGGGACATGCGAGTCCAGCCGGAGCCCACAGCCTGCCAAAGGCAAGGAGGCTCAGTCCAGGCTGCCTCGGGGATGAGTGTGTGGAGCTGGAGAAGTACGCTTTGTCTTTCAAAGGACCAGTGGGTGAACATTTCAGCTTTGTGGGCCACACAGTTTCTCTGGCAATGTCAACCCTGCCAACATAGCATGAAAGCAGCTACAGACAATCCGTACACAAAAAAATGTGGCCAAGAAAAAAAAAAAGTGGCCATGTGCAGGTGAAACTTTATTTACGGACACTGAAATGAGGAGTTTATATCATTTTCACATGTGATGAAATACTCTCCTCCCTTGGATTTTGTTTACCCCTGATCATTTAAAAGCACCAAAGCTGTTCTCAGTTCGTGGGCCATACCAAAAAAGGCATCAGGCTGGATTTGGCCTGCAGGCAGTGGTCTGGGGCCCCGTTTAGAGATCTGCCCTCGATGTGGCAAAAGGGTCACACGGGAGTGACAAGGAAAGCTCCGCTTCCCGCTGGCGACACTCACTACTTGCCGTCCCGGGTCCACCCGGCCCTGGCGATGTACTCCACCTTGGGGAAGAGCACGCTGAAGGGCTGCACCAGCTCCTTCTCTCGCGTCGCCACGATCTAAAGGCAAAGCAGACTTGGGTCACACCCTGGCCTGACCACATGCTGCCCAGGAGGAGATGGCTACTTCTGGAGGGAACACTGTGTCCCCCAAGTCTCAGGGGTGGAGTCCTGGCTCCTGGTTAACTCCCAGTGGGGCCTGATTTGTAAACAGGGTGGTCTCAGGTATAATCAGGTAAGGTGGTGCTAGAATAGGGCGGCCCCTATCCAACAAAAGGAGCGGTCCCCCTGTAATAAAGGGGAAGCGCGGACTCAGGCGCCACATAGGGAGGGTTGCCTCATGACAAAATGCAGGGAGGCAGTGGCCATCTACAGGGCGAGGAGATGGGTCAGGAGGAGACTCCTAGCCCTGCTCACACCTTGCTATCAGACTTTTATCCTCTGGAGCCAGGAGACATACACTTCTGTTGCTTAAGCTCATGACAGCCTGCTGGCTGGAACCCGAGGGCTCTGGTCTGGGCGGTCACTGTAGTGCCAGGTGGCCTTGGGCAACGTGACTTCCGGCTGCTAAGCTGCCGGGGCATCCCGTCCAGAAAACGATGGAAGAAAAGCAGGCAGGGCCTTGGCGTGACCTACACCCACGCCCCCATGTGCCCCTACCAGCAGCTCCCAACTGCCTGGTACCACCCATGCCCACCTCAGGACCCCGCCAGTCCGACGGGCCAGGCACCACTTAAAACAGCTGGTAGGGGTTCAGCAAAGCTACCTAATGTCAGGTGTATGTGAAAATGCCAGAACATTCAGGTAAAGAGTGGAGAAGAGATTTGGTTAAGGCCTAATCATTCCTAAACCAAAACCTAACCCCCAAATCATGAAAAATAAGTGTATCTTATCTTACACTCTTTTTAAAACCTCATGTAGAAAGTCATTCTGACAAAGATGTGCAAGGGTTTCCTCAGCTTGTCTGAGCGTTCAAACCTCCGGCATGTGGCTGTTTCCCTTCTGAGACCTGGCAGCCCCTTGGCCCTTCTCCATCAGAGCCTTTCCGCCCTCCTGGCTGTGGGTTCCTGAGCAAGTGCTCCCTGGGTGGTGAGGACACTTGTCCTGACCCCAGGTGACCAAGAAGTAATTGGAGCACTGACAGTTCCAACGAAGCATATGTGCAGATCTGCCCAAATGCTGGGGAGGGGGAGGGGAGTAGCTGGGTCGGAGGTTGAGTCCCCCGGATGACTACCCAGGGGAGCTCTCTGTTCTGGAAACCCTTATGGGACCTTCCGCTCAAAGGTACTCATCAGTATCACCTCCTCATGTGGAGGCAGGTGAGGCCAAGCTCACCACTCATTTTTGAGACCGAGGCTCAGAGTGATGGGGCTACAGAGGCAGTGCCTTTTCAGGTTCAGCTGTCCGAGAACACCTGCCCTTGGAAAGGGGGAAAGAAGCTTGCTGATGCTGCCCAACTGTCCACCCATCTCCAACACCAACCCCAGCCCCTCCTCTCCTCATCCAGAAGCTTCTCCTGGCCACTCTCACCTTGCCCTGACTATCAGTCTGAAACTCGGCCAGCTTCAAGGCAATCTTGGGATTCTTGCTGCCTGCGGAAATGAAAGGGAGGTGAGTCCAGCAGGTGTCGCCCACGAGGGCTCAGAGCAGGGGTTGGGGTGGAGAATGGGGTGATACCCCAGCAACATAACAAAGCCAGTGTGGGAGGGACGGGGAGGAAGGGACTGGGTGTCCAAAGGTCTCTCCGTGGGTGCGTCACCCCTCTGGCCCAGGCACAAAGTCCCTCAGACAGGCCTTTCTGACTTTGAACCTGGACCTTGTTCCTGATAGTGCCGTGACAACCATCTTTACCATTTAAGAACACAGGCCAGACCCTGTGCTGCGGCGGGAAGGCAGGTTGTAGAGAGACACAAACATCAGGAACATGCCTCCCCGCCTTTGGAGAGCTTGAAAATTGGTGGCAAAGGCAGGACACAACTACCATAAAATCATCATGATACAGAAAGGTGTCCACATGTCCCACATGACTCTGCTGAGTTCCTGAGCTGTCGGGAGCAAGGCGGCTGATTGGTTGGGATGACCAAATGGCACTTTCTAGAGGTGGGTTTGGGTCAGGCTCCAGCTATTTCTGTGATCAATCCCAACTCTAGCCTGCATGGCCCAGCACCTGGGTGCATAGCTCAGCACCTGAGCGCCAGCTCTCCCACCTGTCCAGTGGAGGTGGAGGGGCTGACATTCCCACTTAAACCAGGGGTTGCAAATATCACTGGAAGGATCTATCTCAGGCACAGCACGTAGCAGGTGCCCACCGCATGCTTCCAAGGAGGTCAGAAACAGGCTGGATCTGGCCCCTGTGTGTAACTTGTGCAGCTCACTACGTATTTTTAAATAATTCCAAGAATGTTTAAGCCATTTCCTGGAAAAATCTGGAGATTTGCAGAGAGCAGGTACTATCACTGCTGGCACTGGTTCTGCTGCTATTGTTCTTGAGCCCAGGCCGTGTCTCTGGGTCCTGTGGGTTATCCAGGTTGGCACGTGGCTGCTCTGTGAGGCCCAGACCGCTGCCTGATGCCCTCACCTGTCCTGGGGTACCGGTAGCAGTCTGTCTTCCTTTCTTCTAGTGCGGGAGAGGGCACGTGAATGATCTCCACCTCTGACTCATCAACCTCTTCGTACAGGATCCGTAGTGTCTTACAGCCTTCTGGACCTGGGAAGGGGCAGAGGAAGCTGCTGAGGGTGCTAGGCATCCCTGCTGCCACCCCACACTCCTCTCCTGCACAGCAGGGCCCAGACAAGAGCATGAGCCTCAGGGCTGAAACCCTGGCTCTGCTGCTTACTAGACTGTGACCCTGTCACCTCTCTTCCTGGGGCCTGTTTCCTCACTCTGACGATGGGAATGAGAATTGAGCTATTCCCAGCACACAATACCATGGGAGGTGGCCCTAAGGGGTATTACAGGCTGTGAACTATGTCCTCATTGAATTCCTGTGTTGGGAACCCCCAGAATCCCAGAATGGGGCTAGATTCAGGGAGAGGGCTTTAGAGAAATGACCAAGTTAAGATGAGGTCAGTAGAGAGGCCCTGATCCAGTCTGTCTGGTGTCCTTAAAAGAGATGAAGACAGATGCTCAGAGGAACAACCATGTGAGGACACAGGGAAAAGCCGGCCACGTGCACACCAAGAGCGGCCTCAGGAGGAGCCAGGCCCGCTGAACCCTGATCTGACTTCCTACCTCCAGGACCAGGACAGCGAATGCCTGCTGTTGAGCCGCCCCATCCATGGGGCTTTGTTCTTGTTCTGTGTGCGGCCCACACAGGATAACATGGGACATAGCTCAGAAAGGCTTAGGATAAAAACCATTATGAGAAGTCCGTGAATCACGGGGTGGTGACAGTCTAGACTGGAATGTGGGGCTGGCAGCGCTTACGTCATGGGGAGGGAGCCTGTCGCCAAAGCTTCTGAGGCTGCTGAAAGGGAAAATGCGGCCCTGTGTGCAGTTTCCTGGACCCTCCCCTACGACTCACAACGGATGGACCAGGGATGCCTCCAGAACCAGCAGCCCAGCCACACCCAGCCTGCAGGTCAGGCGGAGCACTGGAGGGGCTGAGTGGCTGGCCTGAGGCCATGTGGTTTGGGACCGGCTGCTCAAACCCAGTGCCTAGGACTGCTGTGTCCATCTGCTCCGCATGGAGGATTCCTGGGCCTCAAACTTTGGCAACCAGCAAGAACATTCTTGGGTTGCCATGGTCTAAGAAAAGCCATGTTCCTCCATGCAAGACAGCACAGGAGGTGACAGTGGGTGTAAGGCCTGGGAGAGGGCCACACCGGAGGGTTGATGGTGGCAGCATTCGGGGGGTGGGGGTAGGGCTTCCTAATAGGGGTTTTTGAGCCACACCAGCATTAGGAGAAAGGACCTTTGAGATCATCTAGGCCATTGGATCTCAAGCAGGGCCATCCGGTGTGGTTGTCAGAATTCAAGTGACACATCAAGCAGAGGTCAGGGACGCTGCTCCACACCCCACAGCACCCCGGACGGCCCCCAGCAGACAATGATACAGTCCCGTTGTCCAGAGTGTTGAGGGAGAGACTTCCTGCTCTTGACCAATGACCTCCTTCTATTGACCAAGACAAAGAGGCCACATGATTCAGGACTGCAGGGCACCACAGATAAATGACCTGACCCGGGGCCCTAGTTCCAGAGGCACAGGCCATAGGGGCACACACAGCATGGCAGTGCAATGAAGACCCTGGGCCAGCCAGAAGGACAGGTCACAGTGCTCTGTCCCATAACAGGCAAGCCGGCCTGGCCCTCAGAAGGATGGACAGGCCTCAGGTGCCTCTCCCATGCTGGCGACCCCTCTTTTTCCTAGGAGCCGACTTCAGTGTATGGTGCTGGCTTCTTTACAGCACAGGATTTAGTGTTTCACTTCTCTTGACGTTAAGAACTCTAAAGTCTTCCTTTTATGTCAATTTAAGGACTAGGTGAGCCGAACTAAAGGCAACAGTGCACAGCAGACAGGGTTGACAGTGGAGGTCGCAGCCTGGTGCCCAGGAAGCACAGCTGTCACTGCCGTGTGCTCTGCCAAAGCTCACCGAAGCATGAAGACCCACAGAGAAATCAATTAGCACAAGAGGGTCTGATGCTACCGGCACAGGCCAGAAACAAGTCCCCCCCCACCCTTAGAAGATGGGTTTGGCTTGACTAAATGCCAGAAGGGATGAGACAACCGCACAGTATGCAGGCAGAGACACAGAGATACAAAAGGACCCACTGATCTGGCTTCTTCCATAAACTGTTGGCAAAACTCATCAAGAATTAAGCCATGTGTAGCTTCAACTCAGCTCTCTCATAGCTGGAACTTTCTCCATGACAGGATTCATGATCCTCGGCACTGCTGACATTTGGGGCCAGATTGTGCTTTGTGGGCAGGGACAACCTGGCCACAATAGGATGCTGAGCAGCACCCCTGGTTCTTCTCCACTCCATATCAGTAGCCTCCCAGTCGTGACAGCCACAAATGTCCCCCAACTTCACCCAGTGCCTGCTGGGAGCAGAACTGTCCCTGGTTAAGAATCACTGAGAAACACCCAGAAAGTCAGGACATATACACAAAGATGTTTGTTGTGGCACTGTTTACAACACAAAGCAAAACCAAAACGAGAATCCAGAAACAAGCAAAGCATCCATCAGGATGGAACTAGTAAAACAAACTGTGGTCCATCCACACCCCAGGGTTCTAGTGGCATCAGAGTTCCCTGTGTGCTGACTGCAAGCACTGAAGGTTCATGCCCCCCAAATTCAAAGGTCAAATCCTGTCCCAAGGTGATGGTATGGGCAGGCAGGGCCTCTGGGAAGGGCTTAGATCATGGAGCCCCATGAATGGGATGAGCGCCCTTATGAGAGAGTAAGTAAGCACACCAGGAAAGGACTGTGGTCCATGAACCAGGAAGCAGGGTCTCAACAGATACTGAATCTCTGGTGCCTTGGCCTTGGATTTTTGGCCTCCAGAATCAGGAGAAATAAATGTCTGTTGCTTATCAGCCATTCGGGTCTGTGGTGTCCTGCCATAGCAGCCTAAATGGCTTGGGACACTAATATCGATAGAAAGGTTGCTGAAGTTTGTTTCAAATAAAAAGAGGGAAGAGCAGAAAAGCAGGTAGACTATGGCTCTGTTAATAAGAAACACACACACACACACACACACACACAAAAGAACACAGGTGAATATGCTTTTATGAATACAAAGGTGCCTACCCTCCCAGGAGGCCGCAGGGCACCACCAGTAGCCAGTGAAACGGTCAAATTCCTCCTGGATGACAAAGGTGGCCACGCCTGCAGACCTGGGGTCATCAAGGACACTGGATGAACCTGGATGGGGAGAGCACCAGGTGGGGTGAGGAACAAAGTGCAAAGCAGGCCTTCACCCCCAAGCACTATAGACATTCAAGGCTGGAACATCCTACAGGTGAGGGGGTCTGTTGCTCTGAGGGATTGACCCACATTCCTGGCCCCCACCCATTCGATGCCAGGAACAACCTCAAGCAGCCAAGGCAGCTAACATCTCTGGATGTGGCCAGCGTCCAAGCTACCTGGGCCGAGCAGCTCAAGTTTAGAGAGAGGGCACTGGGGCTGTGGGATAGGATGGGGGACATGTGGAGGCCACAGCCCGTGGAGAGCTCCACCACACAGGGAATGTGGAAAACCCAGGGAGCACGTGAGGTCTGAGCAGGACCAGGCGGAGTGAAACAGGAGGGTGTGTCAGGGGGAAGGGCCTGAATGAGCAGAGAGACAGAACAAGTGGTTGGTGGGGAAGACAGGCCACCGTGGCCGACTCAAGTAGAGGAAGCCCTAAGCCAGGCAGCTGGAGTTCCTGTGGGGCTGGCACAGGCCACCATAGGACCACATGGCAAATCGTGCCAGCAGAGACCAAGAAACTGCCCACTGCTTGGGGGTAATGGAGCGGGGATGGGGGCCTCTCTAGGAGCTATGCTGGTGGCTCTGACGGCCGTTCACAAGAATGGCTGGGATAGGAGTGTGGCCCCCTGCTTGGCCTCACCTCTGTGGCAAAACGTCAGCCGCCGCTCCTCGCCGGTCTCGATGTTGGCCACCCACAGGTCATTGCTGTTGATGAAGGAGAAGAAGGCAGGGTCGGCAGGGCAGATCTTGGGGTCCATCCGGGGCCCGGTACACTGGGTCTTGATCTCCAGGGGTTTCATGGGGGACACCTGGGGACAGAGAGGCCTGGCTCAGGGGACAGGTGGCTGCCCGGCTGCCCACCCCCTCCCGCTCAGCCAGTGACCAGGGCTCACCATGAAGCCATTCTTGCCCCCATCGCGACAGTGGAAGAGGCTATTGCTGGCCTGGAAGAGGAAGAGCCCGCTCTCGCTGTGGAAGTCATAGGAGGTGATGCCAAAGACCCCCAAGCGTTTCCGCTCCCGAAGGAGCTCCTCTTCCCGGGAGTAGACCCCATGGTGGGGAGTGGCCTGTGGACACACAGGGACGGGTGCTGTGTTAGCAGTGCAGCCAGGGACCCATACCCTGAGCATAAACCCTCCGGCCTGGGCATTCCTGGGCGGTGTCTGCCAATTTGCCTGTGGTCCACACTAGAGAGAACTTTCTGGGGAGCAGACCTGTTCCAGGGAGCTCCCAGGTGGCCGCAGTGGGCCTGACCCTGGGCCATGAGGGTGCTCAGTAGGCTGGGGGTGACAGGGCTGGCTGACAGGTTCTGGGCTCACCGGAGAGGTCTTCCTCTCTTGGCCCATCTCTGGGCTTGCTCACATCCACGTTTCTCCACAGAGCCTCTCCAAGCCTGTCCCCTACCCACCGGCACGGAGGGCTCCCCAAGGAGTACTGTCTCCTGGTCCCCAGCGCCAATCCCACAGACCCCTTCCCTCCTGCCCTGATCACCATCCCGTCCAGCCAGAACTTCCGGTGAAACTGCTCACCGGCACTCATTCCTGCTTTCTGCACATGGGGCACAGGGCAAATTCAGGACCACCTAACCACCCAAACACCTAACACTGGGGGGTCTGGGAGTGTAGACTACTGTGGACACCACACAGCCTCCCTGAGAATTCTGAATTCGACTTGGAGATGCAAGGAATGTTAACGGCATGAAACGCATTTCTTAAAAGCAGAACACAAAGCACAATGAACCCCATGCTCGGTCGGCTTGGGGCCTACCAGGGATGGCAGAAATGAGAGCTGTCACATCGGCGCAGAGAAATCCAGAATGTGCCACTACCCGTCCACCACCCCGTACTGTCACACTGCTTTTACGACCAAAAAGAAGTCAACAGAAATGGACGCAAGAGGCCCCCTTGTCCCTCACCAGCCATCTCCACCCGCCCCCCCCAGGTGAGCTGACTTTGGATGATGTTAATTATTAGCCCAGACCCCATTAATGGGCCTCGGCCTGGGGTTGGTTCCAAGTCTTTGATGAGGCATCGAAAAGGAAGAGATGCTTCTGATAAGAGCTCTTATCAGAGCGCACACTCTGGGGCTTGAGTAGAGTGTGTGGGGGGGGCCCACACTCGTCTCCACAGGCTCTGCGCTACCTGCCAGGCTGGAGCTGCTCGGGGGCTGAGGGCCCACAGAAATGTGTGTGGCCTGGCAGCCTGGCCCTGTGCCGGCGTCCTCAGCCATGGGTGGGGCCCAGGGCAGCTCCTGCCGGAGCCCTGTAACATGCGGCTCACCTGGAAGTGATCCAGCATCTGCTTCCAGGACAGGAGCAGCAGGGCCTCTTTCCGGACCTTCCTGGGAATCTCCGAGTAGAGGAGGGAGTTCTCGCGGCTGCCATAAGGCATCCCTTGGGGGGAAGAGAGAAGAACCAGAATGGGGGACCTGGCCCAGGACAGGGAAAGGGTCTGGGGTAAGGGCCGGCCTCAGGCCAGGACCCTGGCTCCCCATGGCTGGTTCCACTTCGACCCTGTCCTCCCCGCGCGTCCTAGCGGCATGCCCTCCCCACGCACACTCCGACTCTGGGTGCAAGTATGTTAGCAACAGTTACGGGGTCTTCTAGCCCTGAGGTGTGTGGACGGATACCTTGCCCATAGTTACTACAGAAACAGCACGTAAGAGAACAAAGGGGAGGCCAGTGAAACCCACCTCTCAATGCGTGAGGCTCGGGTCTCAGGTGTCCTCTGTTAGAGGCTTTTCCGGAGGCCACAGACTGACGCAGGGTCAGAGTCAAAGCAAACGTATGCAAGGGAGCCAGGAACCGTGTGTCTGAGCAGCCCTGCCGGCCCCCACCCACTCCAGGTCAGGAGCACCTGAGTGGTGACAACCACACGTGTCCCCAGACCCCACCTGCCGATCTAAGGTAACCCTGTAGGAGAGGACAGGAGCTGCCTAGTGAGGATTCTGCGTGAACGCAGTGGGCAGGAGACAGAGAGCACGACCCACGGCGCCCAGGACGCATCACTCGAAGAGACCTGGGCCTGTCTTGGTAGCAAATGGCCATTTCTCACATTATTCCCTCTCTCGGGTGCATCTTATCATCAAAGCTGCTGCTGCGTTCTTTGTGGCAAATAAACTTTTCTGACCACCAGTGTTTTCAACTCGACGGACGACGGCAGGGCTGCTGTTCACGGGTAAACAATGGACTATAGATGCCCCCAGTCCTGAGTTCCCCTGGGAAGAAGACTCGATGGGGCGCTGGCCTCTCTTCAGGCCCGCCTCCCCTATGCTCTCGCTCTTATGAGTGGGGGACAGGGAGACCCCAAGCTCGGTGCTCAGGTGGGCTGACAGGTAATGTCTGTTCCCTTTCCAGTCATCTCAACAGGCCGCCTCTCGACACAGCAATCCAACGGGTTTTCCACTTACAACAACACTGGTGAAGTAATTAGTAAAAGATCATATCTAAAGGAATATACGTTAATAAGATTTCCTCTGGAAACCTTTTTAAGGAAAAATGCAGAGGTAATGTAAATGTACGGGTGGGCAACACTTGGGATTCCACGTCTAGGGACCCTGGACACTGTGGAGTCCCACTCTCTCACCCCAGCTAGAGGCACCGGCGTGACACTGCCTGTCCAGACTGCCCACGGGGCGTTCTTCCTTCTGAAGTTCATACAACAAATGGGGACGGGAATCTTGCAGTGCATGATCCCATTTATGTGCAATGTCCAGAACAGGCAACTTCAGAGAGACAGCACACGGACTCATGGTTGCCAGAAGCTAGGGGTGGGGGGAGAGGGACGATGCCTAATGGGTCTGGAATTTCTTTCTGGGGCGATGGAACGTTCTGGAATTAGTGAAAGTTCGACGACGACATGCATATACGAGAAACCACTGAGTTGTCCACCTTTGAAAGAGTGAGTTTTAGGGTATGTGAATTAGACCTCGTTAAAAAACATTGTCATGGGGCAGTGTGGAAGGCTGGGAGGAGCTGCTGGCTGTCTGCAATACAGCAGTGTGAGCCCCTGTCCTCGGGACTCTCTGGGAGAGCCAGGGTTTTCCAAACAGGAAGTCAACAGTGTGGCCTTGCCAAGGACATTGGAGCCACATCCTCTGCCCAGCAGATTAGTAAGTGATGGCACCAAATGGCACAAACCAGAACATTCCCTGTGTTGCCCTGGCACCTGTGATGGCCAGTGACACTGGGCATGTGAGCCTGGGCTCTGACTTCTGCTGTCCCTGCCTCTCCCCTGCTTTCCCTGACTAGCTCCACCCCAGCACTGGGAACAGCACCCCGACCCCCAACATCCAGCAGTGTGACAGGCGGCCTGGGTCTGCACAAGCACCATTTCTGTACCCGAGTCCTGTGGCCTCACGAAGCAGCCCAATGAGCACATGACCTGCACTGGGCCTGGGCTCTCCTCTATGTCGTGAGGACACAGAGGCCTCTCTTCCTTCTCAGGGATTCCCCAAGTTGTCCCAGAGGCCTCTGTCCTACACGAGACACCCATTTGCAGGGGGATAAGCAAACCCACAAGGAACAGGGGAGCTGCAGTCTGAGCGCTGGAACCGGAGCTGCCACAGTCCCATCTTCCTGGCCACAGAAGCCGGCACATTCCCCTCTGTCCGTTTCTTCTGCATTGGACTTCATCGCGCACATCTGAAAGGGCCTTCCCTGAGACCAGGGTGACTGGCTCCCTGTGCACCAAGTGGCAAGCTTGGCGCCCACGGAGGAGGCAGGGGCTCCCAGGGGAAGCAGAGGGGGCAGGCTGCACACTGGGCATGGCCCAAGGAGGCTGTTTCCATTCCATCCATAAACATCAGCTGGCTGCCAGGATTCCCCTGGGCGCTACACCAGCATAAAGACCTGCCATAAATACTTGGGGGCTTCAGGGATGTTTGTCCCAAGAACTTAGACACAAAGTGGAGCTTGAAGGTACCCCGAAGGTACTAAGTGATACAGATGGATTAGCTCAAGGGTAAGAAATGTCACCCCCAGAGAGGCAGGATGGCTCTGAGATGTCCTAGGAAGGTCCTGGGGTCTCTGCCAAGTCCAGAGCCCTTGGCTAGAGCTGCCCCCTCCCCACTGCAGACTGCAGGGACCTACTCACCCCAACCCCAGCCACATGCACAGGCTGCAGACAAGCATTGAATCCACCTGGTTCCCTCTCCCAGACATTCAGAGAGAGCTCATCCATTTCTGCTGGTTGCCGGAACCTGAGATGGGTAACCCTGGGAGCATGGCAGTGGAAGGAGACCACGTGCAGAGCAGATGCCCAAGCCCCACGAATCTCCAGGTTCTCAGGGTCATGACATGAGGCCCAGGTGGCTCCCTGGCACACCCCCGTGTCCTTCCTATGAGGTGTGCCTGGTGGCTCAAACTAGCTCAGAGGGTTTCTGTGGTTGGCTAAACAGTGGCCCTCAAGTGCTCACGTCCTAATCCCCAGAGCATGACTATGTTACCTTCTGCAGCAAGAGGGACTTTGCAGGGGGAATTAAGTTTGGGATCTGGAGTTGGGGAGAGTAACCTGGATTTTTCAGGTGGACCTGAAATGGAATCATGTGTCCCTCTAAGGGAGGCAGAGAGAGCTTTCAGACACACGGAAGAAGGGGGGCCATGTGGCCCCAGCAGCAAAGATGGCAGTGACACAGCCACTAGCCAAGGAGCGCTGGCAGCCACCAGAACTCGGAAGAGGCAAGGAACCAATTTTCCCCTAAAGCCTCTGGAGGGAGCTCAGTGCAGCCCTGCTGACATCTCGATTTTGGCCGGGAAAACTGATTTTGAACTTCTAGCCTCAGGAACTATGACAGAACACGTTTCTGTTGTCTTAAGCCACCCAAGTCGGTGGTGATTTGTGACAGTAGTAGCCCCAGGAAACTCCGGCAGGGGAAACAACTCCTGGTGTTGGATCACAGTACACAAGTACCCTGCCCAGGACAGCAGCCTGAGCTTGAGTTGGCGAGGGGTCCAAAGCTGTGCTAAGGGTCACAGGATTGTGGGGAAGACCGAAGCCACAGCCACCAGTCCACGTGCCCTGGCTGCTGTGACCCCAGGAGCCACGCCCCTCCAGGTAAAAGACACCCCCTCCCGCCCCCCCCCCAGCCGCCAAACTTCCCTGTACAGTATTTTCAGCTTTGGGGGCCGTATGACCTCCGTTGTGACTATGCTCGGAAGCAGCCCTAGAAGGTACAGAAATGAACAGGTGTGGCTGGGTACCAGTAAAACTGGATTTCCGGAACAGACGGCTATTGCCTGCTGAGCCTGTTGTTCTAGACCACTGCTCTTCTCTTCTAACGCCGTGGTCACCAAACCACCATGTGGTTTCCACGTGCATCTCTACGAAGAGAGTTGCTGCGTCAGCTCTGGGGAGAGCCAGACGGCATCCACGGCAGTCACTGCCAGGGCCCTCAGCGGGGGTCGGCCCTGGGCAGAGGACAACCTTCGGTCACAGGTGTGTGCCACCCCTCATTCAACACTGATGCAAGGCCTGGCCACCGCCAGCATCGTGCCGGGGCTGTGGGTCTTCAGAGGCCGAACGGGCCCTGAATATCGGGTTGAGAGCTGAGGCTGCAGACCTGCCCTGGGTCACCAGTCATGTGTCGTGCTGCTCCCAAAGGAACATGCTCAGCACTGTTCCTGTGGGCCCTGTCAGACCCTCAGGCAAAATAAGGCAACGCCCTTTGCTTGCTCAATAGATAGGTATTCACTGTCCACCTACCAGGAGCCAGGCCCACGTGAAGCTCACAGGGCCCTGAGGCTCTCACCAGGCCGGCAGGGAGCACAAGCCTGCAATTGACTGCAGGTGGTGTAGAAATTTCTGCTCACAAGGCGCATGCCACAGACGGAAGTCACTAGTAGTTCACTGGCTTATCCAGATATCTAGGGCGGGGATGGCACCATGTGGCCAGCCACCCTCTGGTGTTAAACCACAGCACACACAGTACACAATCGTGGCACCTTTCCCTTGAGCCTCGGGATCCTTCTTAGCACGTCAGCCCAAGGCGAGGACTTACCTGTGACTCCCAGTACTAGGAGTCGTCATTCATTGATCCAACCCGGCCCTGCCCTGCCTTGCCCAGATGGTGGGGAAATGACTCAGGGGGGCAGGCCCAAGCCACCTGGTAGTGGAGACAGTGTCAGCAACCCCCCTTCCCCCCTCCCGCCACAGCACTGCTGCAACAGTGGGCCGCCCTCTGCTCCGCTCACCTGCACTCCTAACCCCCACAGGGCACCTTGTGCCAGACCTTCCCTGTAAACAGATGTCCCCATGGGTGGCGTGGCCTCATGGGACAGTTTGCCCTGGGCCGGGCCCATCTTTTTGGACCTTCTAATAGAACCAGCTGGCCTCTGGAGACAAGAGAACTTAGTAACAGTGTCCCAGAAACCCTGCCACGGTCAAGGGGGCCGACCAGGCCTGAGGGCACCTGGGGGGCTTACCCAGGTAGTAGAGGCGGTGGGAGTGGGGGCTCGACTCGTCCGTCTTCTGCACAAACTGGAAGTCGTGTGGAGCCTTGTTGACAATCAGGCCTGAGTTCTTGCGGCTGCCGTGGATGATGTTCCGGAGCCCGTCCCACGAGTGCTTCTGCACCTGGAAGCGGGATGCCGGGTCCTCCATCTCGACGGCGTCACCCCGGTCGGACACTGGTGCCCCTGTAGCCATGCTCTCTGTCCCCTCGGAATTCAGCGAGAAGCTACGAGTGGGAGGGGAGAGCGTGGGAAGAGGATGATACCCAAGTTTCCCTTACGAGCTGCCCCCTCGTCAGACACTCCTGACCTCCCTGAGATGAGCTCCTCCCCCACGCAACTCTCCCAGTCCCCCTAAATATGTCCCAAATTATTCCATTTCTTTCCACCATCATGAACACTTCTAAGATCCAAGCCACTGCCACCTCTGATCGCAACAGTCTCACAAACAGACCCCACACACCCACTGCAAATCTGAACCTACTGTTTAACGCTCTTCCTTGGTTTTCCACAGCCCCTGGGGTAAAAACCAGTCCCTGTCACGGCCTTCAAGGCTCTCTGTCCTCTGACCCCTGCCAACCTCTTGAACCTCAACCTCCCACGCTTTATCAGTCCTCCAGCCAAAATGGCCTTCTCTCAGCTCCTCAAAACAGGCCAGACTCTTTCCCACCCCAGGGCCTTTGCATGTGCTACTTCTGTTGCCTGAAACATTTTCCTCTCACTTTGCTTGACTAACTTCTAATCAGATCCTAGTGTAAATATCTGTTGGGTCGTCAGAAACCTTCAATGACCATCTGCTCCGAGGCCGGTCTCTCCAACAGTCTTTCACTTTCTCTCTCTCACACACACACACACACACACACACACACACACACACACACACACTGCCCATCGTCCCTGCCCTCAGAGCACTCGTCACAACAGCTGTTTGTTGATCGCCTGTCCCACTCACGGCAGTGTCCCTAAAACCTCATGAGGTCTCTGTCTAGCTGCCAGCAGGCCTCCCACAGAGTGCTGTGGAGTGACCATCTTGCATTAAGCCCGCTGGGAGACACAACTCACATGCAAAGAACTGAGCATAAGGAACGAATTGGCAAAGCTCGTCACTCCGCGCCATCCAGCTTGGGTCCAGCAGGGGAAACTCTCGTGTCCCACCAAAGGGGCTCAGAGAAACAGACAGCTGTGCACAGGCAATGTGAGAACCCCAGAGGAGGGGATGGATGCCCCTCAAGACAGCCCCTCTCTTTTCAGCCCCTGCGCAGGTATGGCCGAGGCTCCCTCCCTCCCTTCTCCCACCCTTGCTGTTCAGCACATTTCCTGACCAGACTGGACTGGCCAGGCAAATATTTGTTTTAGGGAAATCTAAACACAGCCACAGTGACCCAGTTCTGGAGCACCCGGGGTCTCTAGTGAGGCCTGCCAAAGTGAGCAGGGCAGCCTCCCCTTCCTCCGTGGGCATCAAAGGCACTAAGGCCTTGCTGGATGCTGGGACTCCTTGCGCTCTGGAATTAGCGGCTTTGCTACAGGATTAGTGGCTTTGCTTTGTGGGTGGAGTTCAGGGTTCGCTGGTCGGAAGTGGGAGTTGCTACTGCGAGACCCAGGGGCAGGGACAGCACAAGCCAAGGGCTTTAGAGAAGCACCAGGCAGAGCTGTGCCCTCCCTTCCCAGAAGACCTTGCCCCTGCCAGTAAGTCACCCCGCCCCCCACCAAGTCACCACCATTAGAGACAGACCCCTGCCTGCTGCTTCAAGAGGCAATGGGAGAGAGACACTTCTGAGAACGGCCTCTGTGGGCTGATTTTCAGAGTCCCCTTTCTAACTTGACCCAGCATCAGATGAGCGGCAGAAATGCCTCCCTTGCTCAGTCCTATGTGACCCAGCCAGGTTGGGGGAGAAGGGTGCGGGGGAGTACACAGCAAGCCGAGGGTTCTTGCCCCCCCCCCCCCCCAGCCACAGAAAGTGCATTCAGTACAGTACTTCCTACAGTGGCTTTGAAGACACAGATCACGGGCCATCGGAGCTTTCAGGGCCCTCGGGTCCCCCAAGCCAAACCAGAGAAGACAGGAGACTAACGTTGCGTCCTGGCCCACTGCAGGGCTGTGGTTTACCTCCAGGGCAGTGCGGGGCACAGGCAGTGTCAGGCAAGGGCCAGGGCAGGGGCTGGGGCTGGGGGCAGGGCCAGAGCTGGCTGAGTGCTGCAGAACCCACATCGCTCGGAGCACTTCTGGCAACAAGCCCAGAAAACCAGGCCAGGGGACTCCTCTAACAGGCCCAGCCCACCTCTCCCCCCTCAACCCCGAAACTGCTGCCACAATTCAAGCCTTGCTCACAGCAGAAAAACAGATCATGACCTTGAGGGTTCCCAAAGGGACCCCATAAGCTAAGAGCCTAGCAGAAGCACTCACAAAATCATGTGGCTAATTTCCATAGCAAAGAACAATGAAAAAGATCTTGCCTCCGGTCACTGCAGAGAGCCCAAGGAGCAAAAATATGATCCAGGAGATGAGAAATGAAATGAAACATCGGGAGAAACTTCTAGGAAATCTTCTAGATGCGGCCAGGCAGCCTGAGCTCCCAGACAGGCCAAGGCTTGGTGCTATGCCCTGGTCCTCCACTCACCTCTCTGTTCCCCCAGAAGCAGAGAGAGACCGCAAAGGAGGTGGCACGCGATGAGGAAGAGGCTAAGTAAACGCTGCCCTTCCCGTCCTACCCCAGGCAGTGCTGGGCTTCTCCACTCAAGAGTTTACACAGCTGGGGAAATGAAAGTGGATTCCAAGCCACTTAGGCCAGGTCCACTGCCACTCTCCTTCTGCCAGTCAGCAAGATACCTCGCAGACCACGAGGCCACTAGCAAGCAGCCTGGGACCTCCGGTGCAGTCACGGTCAGGGCCCGAGGGGAGTTCTGCGATCTGTAAGCTGCTGCTCCAACAGCCAGGACCACTGGTCCCCCGAGGTGTCCACCAGAGACCCAAGCGGGGCCTGTGACGAGGGAAGCAGGCAGAAAGCAAGAAGGAACAGCAGAGCTCAGTGTTGGCTGCAGGTCTGGGAGCGTTTGGCCGACCACAGGGAGTGATAAGGCAGGAAGGAAGGCAGGCGCTAAGGAGGTGAGGGGCGGGGGCCTACTGCACTCCAGGGAGGAAATGCCCGAGTGCCCCGCAGGTGGGGGTTCCCCGGAAACAAAAGGCCAGCCTCTGCCCTACAAGGGCTGCCCTTGGCATCACCTGGGCCTCCTGAGGTCGCAACCAGACTCACAGACTTGGTGTGCAGCCCAGCCTGGCCCACTGGGGACCCAAGGCACGCAACAAGCAGGACTCGGGTCTCCCTCGCTAAGTAACCTCCTAATGCATTTACCCACCAGACACTGGGAGTGTGTGTCTGGGAAATGAATCACTGTGTTCAGTATCACACTTGTCTTCCAGAACCTCTTTTAATGCCCTTCCTGCCTGTCTGATGGCTTGTACTTGCTAAAAGCAAATGACGCCAGGAGTAGTAGACCCTGGCAGTGCAGCAGGCGGGCTCAGCGGAGGACCTGCTACGGTCTTCACCGGGCCTCAGGTGCACAAGTGTGACTACTTCCCACTGCAACCTTGACAGGTGAGCTCAGGGGTCAGCCGCATTTGGGAGGCTGGAAAGAAGGCTCAGCATCACCCCCACAAGGAAGCAGAGGGGAGCCCACATCTGTTGGACCCGAAAGCCACATCCTAAGCACCAGGTCAGGGGTTCTCAGCTAGGGCTGATCCTGCCTGAGAGGACACCAGGCAGTGTCTGGGGTAAGGCTGGCATCGATGGGGTGGAGCCAGGGGTGCTGCTCATCCCTGCCAGTGCCCAGGAGGGCCCCCATGGAGAATGACTTGACCCCATGTCAGCAGTGACCAGGCCGAGAAACCCTGCACTAGCCCACACTGCCTCCTCATGCAAAACAGCCAGAACAGAGTTGGGGAAACACGGAAAGGGGCGGCGGGGGGGCAGATCTATAACACTGTCAGAAATTTGGGGAACCTCTGCTACATCCCTACAGATCAAGGCTCCCGAGACCACACCCCTTACCTTCTCCAATCTTCTGTGTTCTCGTGATCCAGGCGGAGCTTCTTAACCTTCCGCATTAACCACTCTGCAGATCTCAGGAGGGTGGGGAAGCCTGCAAGCAGAGACCCCAGAGCTGCCACTCCCAGTAGTCTGGGAGGGCCCCATCTTGCCCTCCTCCTCCCCTTCCCATTTCTCCAGGCAGCCCCCCATTACTCCAGGGACACCGAATGCCAAGAGCGTTGTGACAAGGCCCTGCCTGGAAATTTGAGAGGGTGCCAGGCATTCGCCAGAAACCAGCATCTTTGTCATGCAGGTGCAGTCCTCCTAAGGCGAGAAGCCCCTGAGAAGAGGGCAGTTCCAAATGACGCCACGGACGCCAATCTTAGTGCTCACTAGAATCTGAATAATCCCAAGTTCCCCACAGTGGCCACTCTCTGATGGCCTTCCTGACCTCACCTTCTCCCCTTGCCCTTGGCCATGACCTCCAGCCACCGTGGCCTTACTCTCCTTTCCCACCTTTCCCACCTCAGAGCCTTGGCACTCACCAGTTCTGCTGCCTGAGACGCCCTCCCCTGCTTTCTGTACGTCCTGCCCCCTCTTCTCTTCCACGTCCCAGTCGCACCTCCTCAGAGGTTGTTCCTGGCACCCAGTCCAAAGTGGCTGCCCTGTCACCCTCACACACCACCTGGTCCTTTTGTACAGCAGTAAGTCTAAGACAGTGACTCTCAAGGGGCACTACTGTGCCCTCCACCCCACCTCACCCCTGGGGAACACCAGGTGATGTCTGGGGACAACTGTGGTTGTCACAACTGTGGGTGCTCCTGGCATGGAGCGAACCGAGGAGGAGGAACTCTGCATTCTTTATTTGGGGGAAAAATTGAGTAAGATCCTTAGGCCGTCACTAGGCACTAGAATAAATCCCTGATGGGTCAGATGGTAAACCCCAGCATCTGTGAGTCACCTCCTCTCTCCCTCCCACTTAGTTCACATATTTAAGTGGTGCAACATCCTAGGACCTCAGTAGGTCAAAAGATTATGGAATATAGAGTCTCTTGGGGGTCAGCTGAGCTCCCCCCCAACCCAGTAAGTCTCAACCAGGGCTAATTCTGCTCCCAGGAGCCATTTCTGGTTGTCACCACTGGGAGGCATGCTACTGGGATGTAGACCAGGGAAGGCTGCATCCCACAGGGCACAGGATGCTCACCTCCACTCCCCACTGCAAGGAATGATCTGGCCCCAAACATCGCCAGTGCTGAGGCGGAAAACCCCTGCTCTGGGTGAGTATTCTTCACTGTGATGTCAGCTCTAGGGGGCCAGGCTCACATCTGTCCAGTTCCTTCTGTATCCCCGGAGCCCAGAACCATGCCTGGCATACACGAAGCACTTTGGGTCGAATTAACAAGTCAACAAGTCCCTGCCCTCCCCTGAATGCTGTCTAAAGTCAAAGGGAGCCCTGGCTTGGTCGGCAACCAAACACCTTCTTGATGAGCCAAGTCCCAGGCAGGCAGGTGTTCAGGGGCTTCAAGAAAAAGAAAGCAGTGTGTGATCCCAGGACTGAGAGGAGAGACAGGAGGCTAAATGTCACCATAAGCAGCACTGGTCTCACTCTCAGGCCTGCGGTGAAAAGAGGGGCTGCTGTTGTCAGAGATGCGGGTTCAAATCCCGGCTCTGCAACTTCTCATCTCCGTGACCTTGAGAAGCTGCTTAACCTCTTGGTTAAATTGTGCCTCAATTTCCCCCTTTATTAACATGCTCCCTATGTCTTGGGCTGCTATCACAATTCCCAGATGTGGCAGGACCCACGTGACAGCTAGTACTGCCAACGAGACAAGTCACTGAAAGTCCTGCCGCGGGGAGAACTGGACCAGGGCTCCGTTTAGAGCCAGGCTCCCCACCAAATGCTGCCTGAGCGCCAGGCACCGTGTCAGGCGTAGGGGAATGCAGCTCCACCTCCGCCAGATCCGGCTACAATCCACATTCCCCCTCCTTTCCCCCACAATCTTCCAGGGGGTGTTCTTACTGGGGCAGCCGGAGGAAGATGCTGGATGGAAAGAACAGTCCACAAAAAGGGCGCACAAAAGCCACAGCCACTGGCCTGGGTCCCAGCCAACCGCCCCGGGGGAGGCCAGTGACCTCAGGATTGTAGAAAACCACTTCCTGCAGCCTTCGGTATCCCAGAGCATGCAAATGAATCCCACCGGCCCACACACCAGCCATCACGGTCACCCCAACTGACCTTCTAAAGGGTCCAGAAAGCCTCCATTCCAGCTGCAGGCGTGGGACAGGACCTGGACAGAACACACAGGCCATTAACGCAGCAGGTTAACGGAAGGGCTGGCTAACAACCGGCTCTCCTTCCGCTCGGGAGTCCTGATTGCCCAGCCTGATTCTCTCTACCCGGCCAGGCTCTGGAGACCCCGGGCAGATGGCACTGTGCCCTCCGCATGCCCCGAGCTGCACCTGGGAGAAAGCCCTCCCATCTGGCCCAGCTCTCCCGGGAACCAGCCAGGGATCGCAGCGCGGCGCAAACCTCCAGGGTTTCGGCCCCAGCTCCTGGAAAGCACGTTGGTTCTTGCCACTGAGACAAGCGACTTCCTCACGTTGGGGTGGGGGGGGACGGGGCACTTCTGACGGCTCAGCTGCAGCGTGGATGGGGAAGTGTGGGGGCTGGTGTAAAGCGGCGGGGGCAGGAGGCGGGCGGCTGGACGCGCCCCGGGGCGAAGCTGAGAGCAGGGGCGCGGAGGGGCGGGCAGGACGCAGGTCCGGGAGCGTGTTTGCAGGGGGAGGGGACCTCCGGGGCCCGCGGGGAAGGAGAGCGCCGTGGGTGCGGCCACTCCCGTTAGGGACCCGGGCCAGGTGGCTCGGCCAGCGACGGGGCGAGCCGCGGGGGGCCCGGCCGGCGCCGGGGGCGGGGGCGGGAGGGGAAGGGGGCCGACGAGGCCTGGGGCCGCGGGGAAGCCGGGGCGGGACGGCTGGAGCCCGCGTGCGGTCAGCGGCAGGGCCGCGGCCGAGCGCCCCCGACAGGCCGGTCGACGGCGGGCCCAGGGTCAGGGCTGAGGTGGGGCCGGTCAATGGCGGGTTCGGGGTCGCGGCCGACGCGGGACGGGGCGCGCGGGCGCTGCTCACCGGGCTCGGGGCCGGCGCGGGGCGGCGGCCGGGCTGGGCAGGGCGTCCCGGGGCCGGAGGCGCCTCACACTAGACGCTCCATGCCCGGGACTGCGGCCCCGGAAGTGGCGGGCGCGGGGGCCGGCGGCGGCGGCGGACACGGGGGAGCCGGCGGCTCAGGCCCCTTTGACCCGGAAGTTGAGCGGCCCAGGCGGCGGCCGCCGATTGGCCACCGCCCGGGAGGTACCAAGGGGCCTGCGGCGCTCGGGGGGGGGGGAACGCCCCGGATCGGCTCTCTGGCGGCTGGAAGCTTGGAATTTCCCTGGGGCGGCATCTTCCGGGGCAGGGAGGGACACCGGAGACGGACACCCCCGCAGGGTTTGGTATCGCCCAGGCGGACCCGTCACACTTCTACTAATAGTGTGTAAGAAGAGAGCGTTTCGCCGGAGCGTTGGTGGTATAGTGGTTAGCATAGCTGCCTTCCAAGCAGTTGACCCGGGTTCGATTCCCGGCCAACGCAGATAAGGGCGTTCCCTTTTCTACTTTCTCTTAACCTAATTACATTTTTCTAATAAAAACGTGTGACGCGCGACAGCTAAAAGCTCGTCTACTAGCCTATAGGCGGGAATAGGCTTTGCAAATCTAGAGAGGAGGGAAAAAAAACGCAGGCCTGTTTCCGCCCGGGATCGAACCGGGGACCTTTCGCGTGTGAGGCGAACGTGATAACCGCTACACTACGGAAACCGGTGGACAGCGCGGCTCCGGGGGAGGCTTATAGGGCTTAGAGCGTCTGGGATTCGCGCCCTCCCGGGGCCCTCGACCTTCCCAGGTGCGTGGTGGAGGCTGCAGCGCGGGCAGGGGGCCCCCCTCGACCCCGAGCGGCGCCCCGATGCACCCCGCTAGCGCGTCAGCGTGGGAGACCAGACTTTTATTTTCTTGAAAGCCAGGAGGAGGGCGGGCAGGTCATGGCCAAGAACTTAGGGTCCCGTTGCTGTAAAATCTGCTCCCCTCTCCTGCACCCCAAGACCAGGATTAGAGCGAGGGGAGCGAG